GTTTATTTTAACAATTTAATCAATTAAATTGAAAAAAGTAATCAGTCAACTAATCGATTATGAAAATAATTGTTAGCTGCAGCCCTAATGCTTGTGTCACTTTACGTGTATTTTCAGTGTTTGTACAAAACACTACCTACAAGGTAAATTAGTAGTCAATGAGCCCTGTAAACTGTGCTGTGGGCAATTAAGAATTGCATATTGCATATTGCATTTGGCCGGTGGTGCCGCTTGCTAAAGATGATTACTGCAAACAGTGGGACTGTGCAACACGATATGTGGTCGCAGCATGGTTTTGCAATAGCAAATCCCCACTGGGATCAAAACAAAAATGCACGAAGGAGGCAGCCAGACTCCTGAATGCTGGGAAACTGCAGATCTATAGCCTTCTGAAAAATAATCCACCACAGATCTCTTTTCAGAGGAACGGTAAGTGCCGCCTGTTTGAACGAGGCCTTAGGCTATTCTATAGTAACCGAAAAGGGAATATCAGAACAATAACAGACACAAATAGGATAATCGGACCTTAATAATTTCAGCTCGGTCAGCTGGATATCCATCTTATCGATGACTGGCGGAAGTGAGCCAGTGACATCTGGAACCAGGGTGAACTTGTTTCGGACTCTTATCAAGCCTAAATCCGCAATGATGACATTGCTGGAGACTGAAGATTGTGGTATATAAATAACTGGGGCTTTCAGGTCTATGTCCATGGCAAGGCGGAAGCTTTTCTGTGCCAAATCCTTCATGCTTGATGCAGCTTTTTCTGCAGCTTGGGCAGTTGCTGTGCCAACAGCCTCTTTAGCTGCTTGGAATGTGTTAAAGAAATTCTAAGACAAAAAAACAATAAAAAATTAAACATTACAACATTGCTTGGCCTATTTAATAGGGATGTTCAGATACCAGTGCCGATACTTGGCATTTTCACGAGAACTACCAGGGTTGCAGCTGGGACTTAGTTCTGGCGCTCCACCACTGAAATCCTGAAATCATTAGGCTGTATTTTTTAAGAAAAACTGTCACTTAACAATAAACAAAAATGTATCAGTACTTGTATCTGTGAGTACTTTGACTATTATCAGTACTTGTAAAAATGGTATCAGTGCATCTCTTTATTTATATTTATTTTAAAAAAAATCATACATTAAAACAGGAATGCACAAATCACAGGAACTCTGTATGCTCCTTACGAATGACAGATGCCTCCTAACTTTTGAATTTTTCTCTAGTCTAGTCATGGAGCTGGAAATGTATCTGTACTTGTACTTGTAGCGAGTACCAAACTTGGTGTCTGAACATCCCCACTATTTAATAACACACAGCAAATGGGCATAACAAACAAATTAGAAACCAGCTTCTGCTACAGCATGCATGGTAAGCTGTTGAAACACTGTACTTATATGCAGTCTAAATCCTGTGATAAAGTAGAATTTAGGTGTAAAATCTAAAGACACACTTGAAATACAGATTTACTGTTTTACATGTCAAAAGGATTTGTAATTTTTCTATCATTTTTGGGGTGTGCACACCCCCTGGAAAAGTCAGTAAGTTCACTTTACTACTTCTTGGTTTAATATCAGTTTTACTGCTTTCTAGGTCAGGCCACTGAACAGCAGAGATAATGTGGATTCTTTGTCCAGTTAATAGGCTAGAAATGGAGAAGTGGCATTGGAGGCTGAACTGCTGGACCAGGAGGATGGATTGTTTAATCTAGAACAACACGAGTCTTGACTGTAAAGTGTAGAAAATATGTGTAAATCACAAGACTGGCTGTAGAAGGTTGTAAAAACTGTGAACATGTATATGGATTGTAATAGTGTATGTAGGAAATTTCCTGGAGTTTACCTAAAAAGTAGTTTCCCAAAAAATGAAGACTTACCTGAGCCTATCAAGTGATGAAGACCAAAATCAAACCCCTTTTTACATCAGCACTGCAACAAGATAATACACATACACACACAAGACTTGTCCCATAGCAGCATCCAATGGCAATGTTTACACTGCTTGGCATCCAGAAAATACAAAACAATACAGTTTAGACCATAGGTTCCTGCCAACATAACATTTAACACTGAATAGGCACACAACCTTTATACGTTCTAACATGTTTTGTATGGTGCTCAGCTTTGAACCTGAATAAGACCCGATTAAAGAAAAAGGAATACTTACCAAGAGTGACATGAGGAACTTATGTAAACACACAATGTGTATACAACCCACTCTCAGTAAGATCTTGCCATCTACCGCAGACATATCCTTGTAAGCAGGGCCTTCTGTAGCATCCGGAAACAATGTCATTTGCAAGCTAAACACTTCTTCTCCCAGTATGTAGACAGCCTGTTTGAAGGCCACATAACAATGTTCAAATTGTGTATTAATAAATGTACAACAAAGTCCCAACATGTATATCAGCACAAGTTTCTAGTGCCCTTGCCTTGCAGCTTTGGTCCTGAGTTTAAATCCCACCTGGAAAGCTATCTGCATTTGGTCTGCATATTATTCCCATGTTTGCACAAGTTTACATCTAGTGCTCTACCTTAAGTACTTTCAAATTTCTCTTCCCTTTCTCCAACAATGCAGCGCTAGGAACCTAAACAGCAAATTGCCAGGTCCAAGTACTGTCATGTGGGATTGAGAGGAAGGCCCAACCCAGTGCTAACACAGCAGCTTTTAGTCAGGGCTCCAGTGAGTGAAAAAGGCAGCAGGGGAGCATATGTATCACCAGGGAGGGGGTAGGCTTTAGAGTAAACCTGTTACTTAATCCTGAAAAGGGAAAAGTACAGGTTAACTTTAATATGTATACATTTAAGTGTTCATAATACCTATGACATTAAACCTATGGCCAGGCTATGGATATTACAGTTTTTAGATATTTTTAACAAGCAATAAAAGAGCTTTAAAACAAGCCATTACTAGCCCCTCTAACTGTTTTTCTGCTCTCCATAGAAAGTAAAGGTGTAAGGAGTTGTGATTTTAGTGCCTCTTTCTGAACATTGAGAGCTTTTGGATTGCTTTAGTCTTACCATGACCTGTATGGTTGTTATGTCCTGTTGGGTCCCAAGCCCTCCCCCATAGAAGTTACACTGCACTGATGATGGCCAACTAGCCTAACAGCTGTATGCAGTTTGGAGTAACTTGCTTTATAATATTGGGCTTTATTTGCACTATACACCAGCAGATCTGGGTGGGCATCTGCCCATTGGGGTGTAAAGCAATGATGCGCATGGCACCGCCTACTGTCCTAAAATGAGGAATAATTCTCTAACTTTTGGGATATGTGAAGGAATGAGACATGTGAATACCTTCTGTTTTGGCACTTTTTACTGCACAGCTTGACTGTGCTATGAACTTTGAAGTTGAAATTCTTCACAATGCCTACAGCTACAGAGCTATTTTTTTTGCTTGTTCAGAACATATAATTACTTTAATGCGCATAGTCTAAGTACAGGTTCACTTGAAATGTCAAAGTTGATGGCAAGCTTAATCTTACACCTTTTTAGGAACTCCAGGGGTAAGATATGCCCACAAAGTTTGTAACTTCTGCCCAACGTTTACAGCCATTACAAACCCGAACCTTAGTGTACTGTTCTGCAGTATGTGAAAACAGATGACTGGGGAATCTATGAGCAAAAGAGTCACAACTATATGACCATATGAAATCGATAGTGCACTCAAATTAACCTGGGGAACTCTTGCCACTGAATTTTTAGATAGATATAAGAAGCCACCAATTGATTTAACCCATTGGTGCCCACCAAAAATTAAAAATAATGGAGGTGGCTAGTAAATAAAAACTATAGTGTATTTAAAAGCAAGAATAATTTGGGTTCTAGGAGAACATTTTGATGCATTTAATATTTTAAACACACATTGGTAAGATCATTTCAAGCTGATCATATTTACATGTGTATCTAAAGAAAACATACAAAAATAATAAGACTCTAGAATACCTTTGAAGGTTTGAAACAGCTAAAACTGATAAAATGGCATCCACATATAGAAACACATTTTACAAATCAGGCTAGGGATGTGCCTGTCAGAAAGTTTAAAAGATACAAATATGGCCTTTAGGTAACATTTCTGAAAAAAAACGTTATTTTACCTTATGATGAATTGTTTTTGGATCCACATTGATGACCACAAAGTCACGAAGACGGGCATAGAGATCCTTCCTACTGGCCTGCACAGCATAAGATGCATCCATACCTAAGAGCGAATAAATCAATTTGAGCAATAATCTCACATTGTGCAATTTGTAAGTCACCATGCATAAACAGGCCTTATAGCACTGACTTCTAGTGACTTACAACAAAGTGAGTAATTATGACATTGCACTGGATACGAAAATATAACAGTTACTTTATTATGACACATAACACAATAACTGAGACATTTGATGCTAATGGTGTTGTGCGACACAGATAATAAAATTAAATGTATTGGGATTACAGTTTGAATGTCAGATTATAAAAAAAAATATTTCAGTGTTCAAACAGCAGTGCTGAGGTGAAAAGAGAATTTAACATGGGTGTTTTAGTATATAGAAATAATGATATGTAATAATAATAACAATAATAAGTAATCCCTGATGATAATAATGATAAGTAATCCCTATTAACCAGGGAGACTTTATTGTAGTGATGTTAAACATATACTTTGCTTGGTTGCACAAGTATTTAATTGTTTGCCCCAATTATCTACAGCAGTGGTTCTCAACCTTTATAGGGCCCGGACCCCTTGGTAACATTGGCCAAGTTGTGGTGACCCCCCCCAACGGTAACATTTAGGGATGACGCGGCTGCTGTAGCGACATCTGGCGGCATGGCGGGAGAACTGACACTGCTGCACTAGGAGAGGGCTGAGGAGGACTCTCAGCACAGCAGAAATCACACAGCGACCCACAAGTTGAGAACCACTGCTTAAAGGAGACAACGAATCCCAGAGGAAAACAACAAATCACAGCAATAGTCCATTTGTAGTCCTCTGTAGCTGCTGGTAATCTGCATTGCACTGTATATAAAGTATTATTGCTGGGATCTGATGTATTCCTCTATAGATGGTGTTATTCTCCATTGCGCCGTATAATTTATTATTGCTGGGATTTGTAGTCCTCTATAGCTGGTGGTATTCTGCATTGCTGTATAATGATTATACGGAATACCAGCAGCTATATAGGAATACAACAAATGCCAGTAATAGTACAATATACATACAGTGTATAATGTATTGCTGGGATTTGTAGTCCTCTATAGACCCTTTTGGGGGGGGGGGGGGGGGGGGTGCAGGCTTACCTGAGCAGATATAACCGCATTATGTACGCTGTCAGAATAAAAAAAAAACAACCCATAGGAATGCATAGCTAGATTCCTATTGGCTATTTCACTTTGCAATAGCCAATAGCAAACTAGCTATTGCACCCGCCCTCTGCTGCTGTCAATCACTAGACGGGGACCTGATGGAGAACTGCAGGTCCCCCTCTGCTGATTGAGAGTAAGTAATCCAGAGTACAAAGGTCAGTACTATATAATGAAGTGCAGGGGTCAGTAGTATGTAATGCACGGTGCACAGGTCAACATATGGATATGTATTTGTATTGTAGGCAGCAGAAAACTTTCGATCAATCTCATAACACTGCCAGCCTAGCACTTGGGACCTGTCATTACAGCTGGCAGCCTTGTGCAGTCTGCCCCTTGGCAGATTTCCCTCGCGCCTTTTCAATAGCAAGCTATAAAACAAGCCACCCCTAATCTCTCCAGCTGTTTTAAATTGAAGTTATACTTTCTCAAAAATCCTCAAAAAAACAAAAGAGTTAGGATTCAGTCAGTTTCTACCAGCTTAGAACATAAGGTAGGCAACCCGGGACAGGTGGAGATCTTCCTGAACAACAAGTAAGGAAGCTTTGAAGAGTTGGGGGGGCAGTAGTAAGTAACATTGTTAAGAGGTCACTATTCTATAATGCAGGGGCACCCACAATTTTTCGTCTGGAGATCTACTTTTCAAATGACGAGCTCAATGAGCTCTACCAACGAAAAAACACCTGCATTCAGGGGTGGGAGGGGGCGTGGCATTGAAGTCAATGGCACCGCAGGCAGGCCACTCGCCCACAGTGCGATCACCTGCACCAAGAAACCCAGGCACATTAGTGCCTGCGTTCCAGTCCAGCGCAATCCGCAAAAATGCTGCAAGCACTATTTTTGCAGATCGCACTGGACCGGAATGCAGGCACTAATGTGCCTGCGTTCCCGCTGCGGGTGATCGCACTGTGGGCAGGGGGCATGGCTGTGGTGCCATTGACTTCAATACAACCCCACACCCTCTCCTGCCCCTGAACGCAGGGAGTCGGCCACCTTACATTCCAGTGCGTCCTAGAGACCCCGGCGTCCTGTCCTCCCGTGGTGCTTGTGTGGCTGACGTTGCACATGGGGAGAGGTGTCCTGACACATTCAGCCGGCAGCCGTACGAGCACCGCGGGGGCATAGCCGTAGCCAGCTCCTTTTGGAGCTTTTGGTGGTTCCTTCACTTCTCGGATCCCCGCTGCATACAGATGGGGAGAGCAGCGGAGCGGGGATCCAGAGAAGCCCCACGGGTGGGAGAAGAGGACTACGCGATCGGTGGTAGATCGCGATCGACCTTATGGGTACCCCTGATATAATGCATAGTTTAGTTCTCAGAGGTCAGTAGCATGTAATGCAGAAATCAGAGGTCAGCAGCATGTACTGCAGACAGCGGGGGTCAGAAGTTTCACACAGTGCAGGGTCAGGAGTAAGTAATGCAGAGTTCAGAAGTATGTGATGCAGAGTTCAGGAGTCAGTAGTATGCAACGCAGAGTGCAGGAGTCAGTAGTATGTAATGCATGGCGCAGAGGTCCGGCATAAGTAGCGCAGAGTGCAGGGACAGTAGTATGTATAGCAAAGTGCAGAGGTTAAAATGCACACACGCACCTGCATTATAGGCAGCAGAAAACTGCCAATATCTTGCTAGGGTCCAATCATGTTGCTAATACCACTCTGATGAGAGAGGTGGTGTGCAGGGTCAGGAGCTGTTGGCACGGTGGGGTGGTGATCTACTCATCAGGCTCTGTTCAACTGTAAACACCAGCTGTTTGTTTACATTAGAAGGCTGACAGCCTATAAAAATTATTTTGCAATTGAAAAGATTACAACTGCAACACTTTTAGCTCTTTAATGCTGATAGCCACAGAGGTGAACAGTGGTTTGTTTGGAAGTGCTTTTATCGCTTGTTCCGTATACATATACACTTTAGTGTGCATAGTCTGGACACAGGTTCACTTTAAGGACATATTTCACCTTTGCACTGAAGAACATACTGCAAAGTCAAGTAAACAAACAACTATGACCTGACAATACCCATGTTTATACATTTACTACTAGGCAGCTGTTAAGGACGTACCTTGGATCCTAATATCAGCAATGTTACACGTTTCATCACAAACAAAAACATTAAAGGCATTTAATGTGGCTGAAAGCTTCATGTCAAAAACATCTTCCTCTGTGGAGCCAGGAACAGCTGAAAACATTAATACATATGAACAGTTGTTACTTTGGTGTTATACAATAAATTGCAAGATACAGAATTACAGATTTTCTGCGTTAAAAAAATACCTTAGATGCTGATTTTTTTTTCAACCCTATCACATATTGCTGTAGTACCAGACTTACTAATTTCAGGCTTAGTGCTGACGCTCTTCTGTTTTGCCAAGCTTGACTTTAATTCCTTGGTTCTCTCAGCCACACTGGCCTCACCAGATGGCATGGCAGCAGACAAGAAATTCAACAGAGAAAGCAAAGCTTGAGTGTGAAGAATTAGATCAAGTGAAGACATAGAAGCCTGACAAAAGAAATTCATATATGATCAACTAATAGGTATTCAGATACCTTACTTCGTATATATGAATATAAAAATTACAAGCAGGTTAAAAGACAAGTATGAGTCCATGTGCAAGTTATTGTATTACAAACCAAGAACACCAGGGGAAAAAAAAAGAAGACTGGGTGAGTTAAAAATTTTCAACATTCACATTTAAATGTGTGGAGATAATAACAACATAATGTATATGTGCCGCCCCAACAGGGGCATAGAATATGAGATGCATAGCCTCAGTTAATATTAGCATTGTTATATAGGTTAGAATTTATATAGCGTGATTTGCCTAACTATTTTCTCATAGCTAAATCCATGTGTTATCCTATGCTGCCATCTAGTGGCCTTTTGTTGTAATATACATGTCTAATGTAGATAGAGGTCTCAGCAAGGGATATATTTAGCTATCACAACGATCGGAGTCAGAATAGTATAACCTATGAAATTACTGTCTACTATGCATCAAAGAGTATGGGTGCAACAAAAGGAAGTGTTGTGGGTTTTCCCATTAGAGCAATTTCCACTCCAGACAGGAAGCGAGGGAAAAATCTACCCAATGAGGTTAGTAAATAAAAATCTGGAGGTTTTTTAGCAGGCCATTTTAGCAGACCACATAACTAATGCTGAAATTGGAAAATTCAATGTACAAAAAATATAAAAACTTTCTGCAACATCAGATTCTATTTTTTTTTAAACACAAACCAATAACATGCAATATACTTCATGTTCAAATCAGTAGAAGTATTTAAATAATTGTAATGATTTGAAACCCTAGCTTACAAAAATGAAACATGCAAGTCAAAAGAGAAAAAAATTGTTAGCTCAACTTACACTCAAGCGCTGAACAGTATTGTTGTGAATGGCTTTAAAACCTGGTCCATTACGATCAGCCTAGAAGATAGAGATCGCAAGAATTTAGCTCTCTGAGATTAAAGCAGACCTTCACCCCCTTTCACTTAACATCACATCAGTGTGCAGCTCTACATACTGATATGAAATCATCTTACATCCATTAGTTAAACAAACATATTTTTCTTTTACTTACAATTACTTCCTAGTCCTCTTGGGCAATAGTGATGTACTGTAATGTGCCCAGGCGTTGCAACCTGGGAAGATTACATCAGCAGAGCATTGTTGGGAAATCTCATCCGTAATCTCACAAAATCTCAGGGAAAGACACTTATCTCCCCTGAGATGAGGTGCATAGCCACATGTCCTAATCACATGTGGCAGAGTTCTAGCAAGTAAAGGGAGATGGATTAATCTGTCCTTAGTTTGTCGATTGCCATTACTAAACAATTCTAAAAGGTGTATTTGTTGCCATTTCAAAATATGGGTAAAGTTCCCATGCAAAAAAAGTTTAGGGGTATAAATAAAACAAAATGAACATGCATCAGTTTCACATCCACAGTAAGAGTCTAATTGATGTTTGCCTTTGGTTTTGTTTCAGTTGCAACACAGCAACTGTGGGGAAAACACACCATCTGTTCCTAACAATAAACAGAAGTTTTTATCAGTTATTCCTGGATATATTAAAACAGCTTATGTAAATGAAAAGTACCACTTTCCTTGAAAGCATCATCTTGCATAAGTTTACATTTTTCCTTAGACTGTATAAAAAAGATTGGAAGTCATGGGTGACTAGCATGCAAGGTTTAACCCTTTTGAATGCGAGAGAGGTTTGTTCGCTTCTGGAGGTCCAGCTCTAATCTATTACCCTTTAGTAATGGAGGTTTAACCCTTTCCCTGCCACCGACGTATAGCATGGCGAAACACAACTGTTTCCAGCTGGCCACGTCAGTATGCCATACATCGGTGGCTTTCTCCCCTCTGCCATAAGCTCATGGTTGCTTTAGCATGCTGAGGGAGGAGGGAGGGAGTGCTGCCCGCTTTCAGGATGGCTAATCGGTGTGGCATCCTGTTAGTTTCAAGATGACAACGTCTCTGCGCATGACCGAGCGGAGGATTGGTAAACACCTGTAATATTTACCGATCCTCTAGGCAGAGCAAACACTGGAGTGATCAGGTGATCAGTCCAGCGTTTGTAAACAACTGGGGACACATAGTACTATGTGTCCCCAGTTATGAATGAACAGGAAGTGCTTTACATCATTACCTGTTCATTCAGGAGTTTCTCAATGGGGAGAAGCACTCAGTACAGAAGCTTCTACACATTCAGAAACTGGTGATAGTTAATATATTTTATTATCATCAGTTTCTGAATGAATGGGAAGCCTCTGTACTGAGTGCTTTCCATTCATTTAGAACAGAAAAAGAGATTAAGGACTCTGTGTCCTCAATTTCATTTTCTATTTCAAAAGGGAAATGAAATTAGACCCCTTAGACTGCTAATATTTCCCCGATATCTCCCAACCGTAAAAATAAAAAATAAATAAAAACACATATAAAAATAAATAAATAAATAACGCTAGCAGCACAGCAAAGGAAGATCAAAACAATGGGAAAAAAATTGCAAAAATGGTGTGGCCAGCTGAGGGTAAAAGTGTTCTAGAGGGCTTGGCAGCAAAGGGGTTAAAACTGCATTAGACTATACTTCGTTTTAAATCATATACATGTGCAAACCTGGCAAATACATTTTGGTATAACAGGTTTCTACAAAAACAGAGTAGATTTTGTTTCGGGGGGAAAAAGTGAACACCAAACCTTCACATATTCCATTTTTAGAAGATGTTCTTTGGTGTCATCAGAAGAGTTGATAAGAAGCAGAGGCCCTCCATCAGAACCTATAGTATTGAGAGAAAAAAATAGAGGATTTGGACACCAACAGCTTGTGCAGTTTATGCAGCACTTTACAAAACAAAGACAGAAAAGGTATAATACAATTTAAGACAAGAGGGTTAGGAGGACCCTGCTCTTGAAAGCTTACAATCTAAAAGAGAAGGGCAAGAGATGCAAAAGGTAGAAACTGTGTGGTAATGAGTTGCTTGAGAAAGTAAAATTTCGCTTGTTAGAGACGGGATAGGCTTCCCTAAAGAAATTAGTTCTCAGGGATCGCCTTAAGGCAGACAGAGTAAGAGACAAAACATGGAGGTTGGCTTAAGGAGTTCTGAGGGATGGGAAAGGCTCTATAGAAGCCCTGAAGGTGAGCATGGGAGGAGATGCCAGGGGAGCTAGAGAGACCTAGGGAGTAGGGGGACAGAGTGAAGAGGATGGGTTGGATGATATTTGGAGATAATAGTTGAGATTTTCTGGGGACAGAGTTGTAGATGGTTTTGCATGATGTTCTTAGTATTTTGATTTTTATTACTTGAGCGATCAGAAGCCAGTGGACTGGTGGGGTTTACTGAGTAAGAAAGTGAAGAATAGAGCAAGAGGGTGACTGGAGTAGTTGTGAGGGAATGGGGTCCAGGGGCAGGTGGTGTGACGGGTGTCAGAGAAAAGATTAGAAATCTCTTAATGTAGGGACAGGGAGAAAAGAGCAAGGTATTGAATGTTGTGGTATGTTTTTTGGGGGAGATACCTGTACAGTTGAGAATGGCATTTACCTTATATTTCAAATGACTGGCAATGTCAACAACTAGGGACTGCTTGCAGCTTTAACAGCCATCTAAAAAGGACCTTATGCCTGAAGCTGGCATTACATGAGGCCTAAACATCCACCTGGTAAAACTTCGAGAACGTGTAAAGAAGTGACAGTTTTGAAAAACGGAAATATGGCAACCTAATGCCGAAAAGACCACACAGATCTAGTAGAGTATGCCTTCACAGGAAAAGTTGGAACCTGATCCTTAAAGGAAAAGTATTGAGAGTGTAAAACATACTCTTCCCAATACTTAGAGCCAGCTTGGAACACTGTAGCTGTCACACGCCAGCTCTATACTGGGAGCTGAGCAATTATGTAACTGCTAATCGCTCAGCTCACAGTCTCTTCCCTGCAGAAAGCAGTGACTGTCAGTCACTGCTCCCCACAGGGCTTCCCCATTCCCCTCTGTGTACCTCCAGTGCTTATTGGAGAAAGGTATAAAGAGGGGAGGGGTCGGGCACAGCTGGCTGTGGCTCTAGAAACAGAGAGAGCTGACAATCAGACAGCCGGCTGGATCCAAACAATATTGTCAAGATTCATCCCAGCTGCAGCGTGGCTCTGCACTGTCAGCACGTAGTAGGCAGTAGCCTGCTATATGCTGACTTTGGGTTACAGGAGTATATTAGTAAATGTACTCCTGTGACCAAAAAGGAAAGTAAAGGTCAAAAGAAAGGTTTGGCTTTGCTTCTCTTTGCAGATCATAAGCTTGAATGGTGATCTGTCGGAGCCACTGAGAAATGGTATAAGAAGAAGCAGGTTTACCTTCACAAGGACCATCAGGAATGACAAAGTGCCAGTCTTTCTAATGGAAAGAGTAGGTGAAAGGCAGACATACACATAACGATGGATGGACATCTCCTAAGGAACTAGGGCTGGACAGAGGGACGGAAGAACGATGTCTCGGTTGAGGTGAAAGGCCGGGACGACCTTAGATAGGAAGGAAGTTCTGGGCCTCAACACCACCTTGCCCTTTGCATGACCAGAAAGGATTCATTTTTAGGATAGGGCCGTTGGCTTAGACATGTTTCTCGCAGCAACAAGAAACGCAATCTTTTGGGTGACAGTGGAAAGGGGAATATCCCTAAAAGGTTACAAATTCAGTGCCGAGAGAATTGTCACTGGGAGTGCTCAGGGACAGCCACATGAAAGACACACTGTACAAATGTCTTAATCACAAAATGGGAACTAGTGGTCATTGGAACAATATTGCAAGTGATGAGATCCGAACCTTTATGGTATTAAAGGGCCAGTATTTGTCTCAGGGTGAAAGTTTCTTGCCTTGCACTAAGCGAAATATGCCTTTTATGTACGATGATAGACCTTGCAGGAAGAAGACTTCCTAGTCCTTAGCATTGCAGGAATCACCAGTTCAGAGATGCCTTTATCCCTCAGGACCTGGGCTTCAAACAGCCATGCCATTAAAGCCAGCATCCGTGAAGAAGGATGGTAATCAGGACCCAGGGACAGGGACAATCTAGAAGAGCCCAGAGAATGTCTGCCAGAAGTCTGATCAGTTTGGAGTGCCATATCCACCTGGGTCAGTTTGGAGCTATGAGGATCATCGGAATGTCCTCCATCTCAACATTGTGGAGCAGATGACAAAGGAGTTTCAGGGAAAAAGGAGTCCAACAGGGTCTGGCTAAGGCCACCAAAGCTAGTTCTGAGGAAGCGCCATTTAGGATAAATGAGTATATAGGCTTGTAGAGGAATCCTAACTGAAGGAAAAAGGTTGACTAAGGAAAAAAAAGAGCTAGCATAAAAGGGTAGACTGTTTGCCAGTGTCCAATTCCTCCTGTAGGCGGCAGTATAACCCAACAGTTTCTAAATTCCATGAATGTGAAAGGAATATACTTGTCTTAACTGTAAAATAATCATTTTGCAATAGATTAACAGTTTGCGATTTCAAACTCACCCTTGAAGTCATTGCAAGTCATGCTGATCTTTTGCAGATATACTTTTACTGTCATTTCATGACTTCCTACTCTTGTCTCTGCTCCAAGCTGAGAAATCTGGACAACATGGAGAGGGGAACATCTTGCTTGCCTCATTAACTGGACAATAACCTTGGAATAGAGGAAAGAGTTAATCTTACACACCCAACACACAGACTTATATAGTAGTTATTTTAGTATTCTCTAAACAGCATAAACATTGTGATTCTTATATCATGGAAACATTGCAAAAAGTTCACAAATTACCCTTTTAATTTCAAAATTTAGCAGAATATTAAGTGCAGATGATGATTTCACCGCCCCAGGCTCCAGAGACGACTCATTCGAATCTTTCAAACTAGTCATAGAGGCTTGCAAAACATCCTGCGTAGATTTTACAGATTCTGTAGAAAGATTATGAATTTAAGAAAAGTTAAAACGGTCAATAGAAAACACAAATCTGGAGAAATGTATGTTTCTGCTACAGTCAGGACCCATGAAAACATAACTGTAGCACATAACAGCTTCCTCTGTTCCTAACTGACCAAGCAGAACTTAACCAGTCCAATAGTTGTTCCCCTTTATCTTAACCCAGAGAGTGTCATGAATACATACCACTTTGCACAGAGGCTTGTTCTAAGTCCGTAGTACCTTCTCCACCTTCACCAAGATTTTCTACAAGGACACTGAACAGAACATTCAAATCCTCCTGGCTCAAACAAACCTAATGAACATTAAGTGATATGTTAAAATGTGTCAATTTTCTGATCAGCAAAAATATTCCTCTGAATATGCTTCACAGTTTCCCCTATGCTTCACTTAAGCCTGGCATGCACGGTTAGTTTTGTTTAAAAAAAAAATTGTTTTAGGAAAGTTTGTTTGATTTTCTAACAGTCAATGTGGTCAAATCGACAATGGATTTCGGCTGCAGTAATGAAAGAAAAAAAAAAAATCAAAAGGTGCAGGATTTAAAACTTTTCTAGAACTAATTAAATTAGTTCTAATTAGTTCTCCCCTGAAATAGTTCTGTTTCATTCTGGAAACACCATTCCTTCCAAAATCAAACAAAATTTTGAATGACAACCATCAAGTCTCAATAGCATTATAAAATGTTCTAACAACATTTTTACATGAAAATCTGTATGCAATTCTGTGTATAATTGTTCCGAAAACTTGAAGTGATATTAAAGTTTCATATTTTGTTATGTTTCTACCTAGGAAGCCCAAAATTGCATAAATCTTCTTTAAAAATGTTTAGTTCCTCATTTTCTAGTGGGTCACCGCAGCGCTGATCCCTCCTTAGCTGCTTAGCTGATGCATGGGTGCTGGGAGGCCACGCCTCTCCTCTCCACCCAACATTGATGATATAATGAGCCAATGGCTCCCCTGCCATCAGTATCTGTCCCCGCAACAAGGAAAAAACGAGGAATGGAGGAACGCCTGTGGACCGGCAGAGGTGACAAGTAAGTGTGGGGGAGTCGCCGGAGAGACAAAAGGTACTGGTGTTGACCATGTATAACTTAGGAGCTAGAGTCACCCAACCAAGAACACACAGTGAATAGATGGCACTAAACAGGTCACAGGTAGTGCAGCTGCTTGACCCAAGTCAATGCATTTGGTGTTAGTAAGCACAAACTTCTCTTCACTCCCCTAAGGGGATGTGATATTCTGTCAAAAAAAATAAAAAAATAGGTCCTTGGATCATCTTCTATATTCCCTTTGAGCAAATCCACTGTAAAGTGCATATTGTTAGAACTAACCATTGTTTCCTATAAGGCCACACAGTATGTCGGTGTTGGTTTTGTATTTATTAATTTATTCAGAGAAGAACAGAAAATTGGATGACACTTTCCAATCCACTGGTCCCCTTTTCATGCAAACTTCTGAGGTCTGACCATACAAGCCATTTAGGAATGTCTACATAGTATAACTTTAACATATCTAAAGGCTACTGTTACTACTACTAATAAACTAATTAATTTTCACATTTTCCACATTTATTACCTTGCTTTTTTATAGTGTTAAACACAAATGGAAACTTTTAGAGGTCGAATGGAACGGCCTCGAGGGAGGCTGCCATCAGACCTAACACTGAAAAAGCGGAGAGTTGAAAGACTGAACAGCTTGAATCCATGATCAGAAAGTCTGAAGTTTATCCTGTGAAAGAAACACCCAGCCCTGCACTGTGTGCAGGATTAAACCTACTCCAAACGAGTTTCAGCGCTGATTTCCGAAGGTTTAGGATTCATCCAAACCACTGTAACATATGAATAATCAAAGCAATTTATCTGACAGAGCCTGCACCAACTGTTACCTCAGGAGGAGGATGTGCAAGTATCGCACAATGGGGATGCCAGAAGAGCACAACGGGGCTAGTACTGGGGTCAGCACCTTGGTGAACACCCAAGATGCAAATGATAGGTCGAACAGGGCCATTAACTGCTGCAGGTGCCTACAGCAAAACATAGGAAAAGTTAATGTGTTGGGAAGATGAGGACATGCAGGTATGCATCCTTGATGTCTGCAGAAGTAAGAAAGTCTCCCTGGTGAAGGAAGGTGATGACAGCCTGATAGATAGAATTTCTGAGATAAAATGAGGACATTCAGTGCTTTCGGCTTCAAGTGAGCAGAATGCCCCCTTTGGGTTTGTGAACAGCTTGGAGTAGAATTCTTCAAGATGTTTTGCCGCAGGAAATGGTGTAAAGACACATTGGTTTAGAAGACCTGATGCAGGTCAGGTAAACAGTGGGGAGAGACAAGGATGCAGGTGAAAAACTGAGATGCGGGGCAGGGAGCAAAACTCCCTGAGGTTTCCACCACAAGCACCAAGCCGGCTTCCCCGCCAATCAGTATGGATCTGGCCAAACAGCATGGAGTCATTACCTGCCACCCGGCTTCCCGATTGGCCAAGAAGCCAACTCCATGTTCCCTCGAGGCACTGCCGGTCAGGGAAAAATCACCCTCTGACAGGAAGGTCCGGTATCGGAGCATTTGGGTGAGTATGACTACTCGGCCAAATACTCGGTATCGGCAAACGTCCCCCTGCTCACCCTGTAATATTGTGATGCACCTTCACGAGGAAAGAGAGTTGCCTGAGAATTTGCCAGATTTTGAGCCCCAGACTTAGCAGGTGCACTTTGATCCAAGCTTGTGGGGGAGGGGGTCGTCTTGATCTGGAGGGCACTGGAGTGGAGAAACAAAAGGGAATTTTTTTTAAATAATGAGGAAGAACACTTTGAAGTCTGTTATTTAGGCTTCTTCATTTGAGGAAGATGGGCGATCTTGCCAGTTGCATTATTCATACTAGTCTACTAGAGTAGATATGAAGAGACTCTGTCCCTAAAAGGCCATGCTGACAAAGCTCTTGTTAGACGCAGGTTTTGCAATCCAGCACTTTAGCCAAAGTATCCTATGCATGTGTACTGACCTGAGATCCATACAGAAGATAAGCTGGGAGGCCTCCAACAAACCATCAAAACTGAAATGAACCATTACAGGTTCCATGCATTCTATAAATGAGGGATCAACTGCAGCAGTGGTAAGATTCCTTTTCAGGGATTTATACCAGTCAGCCATGGTCTGGAGTCACCAGCAAGAATAATGTTCCAAAAAGGGCTTCCTCTTGTTGGATCCCTAAAGACAAGTGCATCCTTCAGGTGTGGTAGTCCCTTTGTTACGTTGGGACACTGCCAGATCTACAATGGGGTTTGGTCACTTTTACAAAATCCTGCCCAAACAGATACAAAGCTAATATGCATTTGGAGGAGCAAACAGCCTGTCAGGATATTTTTAATCTCTGCACAGAAAGAGTTGGGACAACGGGTGCAATGGGAAGATCTAAGCAGCCTTAGGGGATCTGAAAAAAAAACTGCTAGAAGCCTCATGATGTTTGCTGCACACAGCATCAATAACAAAGCAGTCTCTTTTAATGTGTAAGTAACAGCAGAAGACTCCTACTCTTCCAGAATACGCTTGTCTGGAAAAGACTGGATCAACTTGGAAACAGTTTCTGCAGCCAATTGCTTAGAAGCTGGTAAATCAGATACAGATGGGAGCACACTTGTGGCCTCTGTGGTCAGAGTTGGCAAATAAATGGGTGATTTAGAACCATAAAGTCTTGTGGGACTCTGGTGAAAACCTTAGCCAAAAGGGCAGAGGAACCAGTGCAACATACTCGCCATTAATAGTGTGTGAGCTGGGCACACCCGTTGCAGAGGGACTGCCCCCCTCTCCCCCGTATCTAGAATCAGGCATTTTGTGCCTGAATTTAGGTAAGGCAACTTAAGGCTCACTGTACAGGGCAAGGGCCCAGGTATTCATGAAACGCAAGCTTTGGATGGGCAGATCAAAGCTGGTGGGAAGCAGGAATGGACCGAGGATCAGAGTTCCACATGGCTCTTTGCAAGCAGGAGCAAAGGTGGGGTGATGCTTCCTTCATGCTATATGGTATGACACTCTATCCTGGGGATGACAGTCCCACAACATTAACCACTTTCGCGGCTGAAACCGATGCAAAGTGGTGAACTGAAAGGCATTCAGCGACCAATGTAAAAGAAGTTCCAAATCTTGGCCTGACCAGCCTACCCACAAAGTGAGTCTTCAGAGACAAGATAAGCGCTGTGTACCTGGAAAAGGGTCTGCGGTTAACCTGTTACCAGAATTACACCTGGAAAGCGCCCTACCTGGCCGAAGGTCACTTCCAGGCTATCCCTGCCATATCCAGCACAGTAGGGTCCGGACGCAGCTCTCCAAAGCGAGGCTGAGAATGGGTACGTCAGATAGCTTCAATCAAAGAAACCCAACTCTGGCAATAATAAGTTTTGATTGCAGAAAAAAAAAGTTTAAAGACAAAGAAAAAAAATGGTACTAGGAAAAATGTGTTCGTCTTTTACACAGCAGAGCTGAGGAAAAGACATTCATCCGCCATAGGACAAGAGCAAAAAACTGAGGCATGCTAGTAGCAGAAAGGGTTATGCTGGGCTGGCCTACAGGTTTTTTGCTTGCCAATGCCCAATAATCCTGTAAGCAGCAGTGTAACCGAAGGTGAAAGACTTCTAGCTCCCCTCAAAGGAAGAGAAAGAAAATGCAGATTAAGGCAGGTGAATAAGTGTGTACACACAATGTACAAAAGTGTGTAACATTATGACTGCAAACCACATGCTTTTAAATTATCAAGAAACATTGTGCATACCAACCATAGGTGTTTGTAACAAAGTTTTCCACATTTAAATGAAAACTCACATCCATAGAATTAAGGTGACCTTTTACTTCTAAGGCAGGAATCTGATGGTACCATGATGCTGCAAGATTCCGGTAAACTGTTAAACTCAGGTTAATAGGATAGAGCATCTGAATATCAGACTTATCTGGAGTGCTGTTCAACACTGATCTGCAGAAAAGTAGAAAAAATATTCTTAATCATAATTGCTTTGAATCAATTTCACTTAAGTTGTTCTAAGTTTAAAAAAGCTTTGTGAGAGTTGTTTTATCTCTCTATCTATCTATCTATCTATATATAGTAGAAAAACAGGAAATAGGGTTTCCGGAGAGGTGTAATTGACCAAGCATATATAGTTGACTAAAAATATATCGAGACCTACCAAGTTAAGCCACTTTATTGGTCAATTATACCAATGCCAGCTTTGTGATCATGATTATGTTACTATGACTATTTGGATTATATCAATACACATGAATGAAATCATTGGGTATATGTATACCAAAACTCTCTGCAGGGCAATGTATGATATATGAACTTTATCTATTTTTAACCTTTATTTATTCTTTGTATATTTAAATAAAACTTGATATATTTTTGGTCAACTATATATGCTTGGTCAATTACACCTCTCCGGAAACCCTATTATTTCCTGAACACACACACAATTATTTTTACAAATAAATAAAGGTTTTGGTTGTCTCTAAAGAGTCAGTTCATAAATGTGATATATAAATAAATATCAAAGATGTATGCGGGTGACCTGAGGATTTCTGTATATCATTATTTTAAATCCTAGGTCTTTCTAAATGACTACTGCACTGAAAACTGTTTTTTTTTTCCGAGCAATACAGTTAAATGTGAAACCTAAAGTGATATCTAAAAGAATACTATATCTTCCTGACTATGTTTCATTTAAAACCCATATTTAGCCCCATCCCTCCCTGCCTTTTCTATCCTCCCTGAGGTGCTCACATTACCTCATTAGATCAGTCCTTACTGTTTACACTGGTCCCTGTACCTCTAGTGATTGCACTGTATCCTGTTTGATTGATGTTATACTTTTAACGATTTCCTCTGATGATACTTCTCTGTGCCTTATTTGTTTGAGTACCTGTTATGTCTAAATACTCAATAAAAATTATTGAAATAAAAAAAAAACCATATTTAGGGTGTAACATGAAACATAGTCACATTCCCTAAACCCAGAATCACCAGGTTCTTCTCCCTCCAACAACCTTTTTACCTTAATTTAGCACTGTTGTGTGTAGATCCATCACAGCCACATCATCTATTTAGAGTTCTGTGAATGGGATGACTACAAGTACCATGTCCCACCACAGTAGAGGCAATGTAGTTCTCAATGAAGTAGAAATGCATTGATGTCGCCAAACTTGTAGCCCATTGTTTACTGCAGTCATGTCCAAATTCCGGACACCGGCCAATTGCGGCCCGTGTTTCCGTTTACCACACAGGTTTTAGAACATCGGGGCCCCACACTGCCGACGGGCTTCTTAGTAAGGGAGCGGGTTCTGTGACTCCCCTCCCCTCCGCGTCCCTAGTAACAGGCGGCGGGAGAGGAAAAGTGTGGTGTGTCACATGCCCCCGCCCCCCCGCAGTGCACACACAGACACCTTTTGGCTCCAATCCTGTGATGCTCTGGCTGAGTGAGTTTGAGCAGCGGGGGGTGGGGTGCGAGGATTGTGTGCTGTTATTTTCATTTAATTAGGAAAGTGGATTATAATGGGGAACATTCCCCATTATGATCTATTTATCTAAATAAATGATTATAAACAGGGCCTCTGTTCTATCAAAGTTTGAGACTACGTTAGAATGTGTGACCGGTGACGTGGTCACACATTTTAACGTAATCCCGCCCAGCATTCCAACGATTTCTCGGCATCGCAAAGCGCATGTGCAGGAGAACCGATCTGCCCTGGAACAGCTGATCGGTCCTGAAATGTCACTTCTATCCGACTTTGTAGATCGGTTCTCCTGCACATACGATCTGTGATGCCGCTCTGCCCTAGAACAGCTGAGAAAGCGTTGGAATGCTTTACCTATTGGCAGTCACACATTCCACCACCAAAAAACTGGGCGGGATTATGTTTCATTTGAAGAATGAAAGGCAGAGTGATTTAACACCTGTTTGCATTTGTCATCCATGTGACAAAATGAAAAGTATGCCATTTGCAATAAACTTCGCATAAAATAGTTAACTTGCATTTAATTTGAATGGTTCAAAGAATGTCAGGCAAAATGGTCGGCCCTCACACATGTTCACTTCATCAAATCAGGCACTCTTTGAAAAAAAAGTTTGGACACCCCTGGTTTACTGCCTATAGCCCCATACCTGAGGGCCCGTACCTCTGTACAGACCTGGGGCTGAAAGTAGAGTTGCAGGAGCATGTGCATTGCACCTGCAACGCACTAATTGCAGTTGTAATGATCTTCAGGCTCCAAAGCAATAATGTAATAAATGCACATTTTTGTAATGTGGGTGCATTTATTGCAAAAGGTGGAATATGCCTTTAAACAACTTAAAAGCCAATCCCACCTAAATCTGATATCAGTTTATTTTTTCCCTTCATCCTTTTAAGATGGTCTCTTCCCATAAAGCCCTGAAAATAGGATTTTGGTACTCACCGTAAAATCCTTTTCTCTCCGTTCATTGAAGGACACAGGGAACAGATCGGAGATCATGTACTGTAGGGTAATATCGCCACCTGCAGGAGAAGGACGCTAGGCACAAAAAAACTAAAGACCAATCAACAAACCCTGATCCACACCCCACTGTAAAGGCGAGGATCCTGGCAACGGAAAACAAAGGAGGCGGAAATCCCACCGACTCACACCAGGCAAAATAAGCCTTCCACGTTCGATGGTAAATCCGTCGTGACACAGGCTTGCGAGCCCGCAACATCGTAGATATAACCGCATCCGAGAGACCACGATCCCTCAACACCTGGCTCTCAACGGCCACGCCGTCAAAGCCAACAACCGACCCACCATAGCGGGCCTGCATACGCTCGCTGGTCATCCAGGGGAGACTCCAAGGATCCGAGACATCCAGCCTGTCGCCCGGACAACACTTGCTAGAAGAATCCTCTGAAAAAAATCAGGAAGAAGCAGGTAAGAATACCGAGAAAAAATTCTTAGCTCCTTACTCCTGACGCTAGGCAAAAAACTGGAGACTTGTCAGCAGGTGGGGGGTTTGGCCACCGGTAGGGGCCGCCCCTAGGCTGTGATTGGTCTTTAGTTTTTTTGTGCCTAGCATCCTTCTCCTGCAGGTGGCGATATTACCCTACAGTACATGATCTCCGATCTGTTCCCTGTGTCCTTCAATGAACGGGAGAGAAAAGGGGTCATTCCCTTTACACTGGGTGGCACAAATGTTGAATTTTTCTGCATTTCAAACTTTTGGGGCAGTGAGACACATTCATTTGAATTTACACACCTGTATTGTTGGAAAGGACTGAACATTTTGGAGATTTCTTGCCAAAGGAGGCTCCCAGTGCTATAAGTAGTCAGCGTGTGATTTAACTTGGCTGCAACCATGCAAAAGCACCATTTTAAAGACAACAGATGTTTAAAAAAGAATTGCACGTTTCTTCTAGAAAAGCCTTTGCACTAAACTACTGCACTTACCGTGATAATTTGAACTCAGTCAAGCTGATGGTCATGCAGTCTACGATCGGGGCAAGCTCCTGATCTGAAGATATCATTCTAAAATGATTCTGTATTTTGATTAACCCTAGATCTGCCACTACGGCATTATTGGATACAGAAGATTGAGGGATGACTATCACTGGAGCTTTTAAGTGAATATCCATCAGCAGCCGAAAACTCCTCTCTGCCAGGTCCTTTACACTTGTGGCTGCACGGTGTGCTGCTTGCGCTGTGGCTGCACTCACTCTCTCTTTTGCAGCCTGAAAGTTATTTAGGAATCTCTGTCAAGAAAGTAAATAACCAAGGACAACTATAAGAAAGGTACATGTGACAAAGTACATTGTATACGAATATTATTTACATTTCATCGCTAAAAACTAGGGTTGCACAGATACCAAGTACAGTACTCGGTACAAGTACGAGTACATGTACCGATACTTTTGAGCTCCAAGACTACACTAGAGAAAAATTAAAAAAGTAGGAGGCAGCTGTCATTTGTAAGGAGCACACGGAGCTCCTGGGATTTGTACATCTCTGTTTTAATGTACGATTTTGTTTTTATAAATAAAGGGATGCACAGATACCAGTTTTGCGAGTACGAGTACTGGTACTTGCCGAGTACTTACAAGTACGAGTACTGATACATTTTTGTTTATTGTCATGTGACAGTTTTTCTAAAATAATACAGACTAATGATTTTAGGACAGTGGTGGAGTGCCAGAGCCAGGTCCCAGCTGCAACCGCTGCAACCCTGGTAGTTCTCATGAAAATGCCAAGTATCTGCACTGGTACTCAAAAAGTATCTGTGCATCCCTACTAAAAAAAGCAATATACATTTAAACTTATCTGTATTTTTCTGCGCATATCAGTCATCATATACAAGTATAGTGGGCAAATCATTTGCTTTTTGGCTAAAGCTAAATTTCCCTCAGTTGCTGCCCCATGTGTTTTAAATGCAGTAAGGAGACATGAGTACAGTGTATTTCCCTATTATTAAAGCTTTTGTACATTTTAACAGCAATTAGTACTCTTTCAGGAAAAATCCAAGCAAATTTTCTCCATATCTGTTTTACAATTTAAGGCTTCCTCGCACTGGAAGGGTTAACTGCTCATTAGGGGACAGGAAAAAGCGGTTTTACTTACCTAATCCCCACGCCTACCGGCTCCCTCCAGTTTGCTAGACCAGTTCCCACAGCCTCTTCTTCCAGCAGTTTCAGTGGTCTGAAGACCACCGAGGTCATCAAGTAAAATGCAGGCTCCATAGCCCTTTAAGGGAAAACTTTTAATTTCCCCAGAGTTGGGCTTTAAGTTATTGAAAGCATACCAGTATGACTTTCATTATGATCAATTGCAGTTTTCTATAATGGATAACGCTTTCCTAAATTAAAACAATCTTGAAAACTGTGAGGCCTATAAGCAGACCTCCCTGTTAATTGTCAACATAAAACACAGACGTCTTGTGCGATAGGTTCTCTTGGGCAATCATATTTTTAAAATGTATCTGTAGCCAAAACAGATTAGAGAACCGACTAGAGAATGGTTGAAACCTCTGTCAGGTATGTTTTTGCATCAATACTATTTTTGGAAACACAACTTACATTTTTGCATAAAAGTATAACCCCTGTAAAGCCACATGCAGGGTTACAAAAACTCAGACATAGGGTGAGAATCTGGTCAACCCTAAATTACCTAAAGACATTGTTCTGTTTGCATGCAACAGAGAAAGGTAACTGCCTCCACATCAAGATTAATAAGATACCGTATATACTCGAGTATAAGCCGAGATTTTCAGCCCATTTTTTTGGCTGAAAAGTGCCCCCCTCGGCTTATACTCGAGTCAGCGCCAGCGCGTCTTCTTACTTACCTCGCCGAGCGTCGCGTCACTGCTGCTCCGGTGTGCGGCGCTCCGAGCGGGGTCATCTGGCAGTCTCCGGGTCCTAATTTAGGTGGCCGGAGACTGCCAGATGACCCCGCTCGGAGCGCCGCACACCGGAGCAGCAGTGACGCGACGCTCGGCGAGGTAAGTAAGAAGACGCGCTGGCGCTGACTCGAGTATAAGCCGAGGGGGGCACTTTTCACCCAAAAAAATGGGCTGAAAATCTCGGCTTATACTCGAGTATATACGGTATCCCCATGACTACTTTTTGGTATGAATGAGGCTAAATTAACTACTCACCCAGATACCAAATGGTTTGAGAACATTTATTTAGTTTAAAACTCTTTAAAAAGAATAGAGTGGTGTTCTAAGGAATGCCATGCAAACTCAGTTCGACTCCTATACATACCCAACTGACTGTTTTCTCTTATTATATGCATATCTTATCAAAAGCCTGGTATGCCCATCTTCAACCTCATTTACCAACCACCCCAAAAACATATGTTAGAAAATGGACTCCAACATTCAAGGAAGGGACCTGTGAGGAATTATAAGAAACATGCTTTCCCCAGTTCAAATGTATAGTATACACCAGATGTATAAGCGTTGTAAAAAGACAACTATCAATTACTTGGCATACCCTAAATGTGCGGTCTACCCTACTATGCAGTTCCATGTCTCTCTGAACTGTTTCATGAATTCAAGCCTTTTTGGAAAAAGAATGATTTTCCTACCTTGAAGCTAGATTTAGACATTCCATATAAGTAGCAGGCATGTCTACTAGATATAGTATATATGAATATACTACAAGCATTTAGAAGGGGTATGTTTTTACTTCTTTTCTACTCTTTTACCACAATTTTACTCAAGTGGTACTGCTAAAATAAACAAAGCCGAGTTTACATATGCAAAGTAACTGTAAACTCAAATAACAAAAAACTAATTTACACTTTAAAGAAGATGAAACCCGAATCAATAAAATCTAAAATAATCTTTATTGGGTGAATGCATATTAAAAAGCCATTTTTAAAATGTATAAATCTGCAGCTCTCCTTATAATAATACCTGGTAATTAGGTCATGTAGGCTCTCGTTCAGGCAATTCCTGTTACAAGGTGACAACGTTCTGTCCCAAAAGTACTCCTGTTTTGGCTGGTTCTTGAGGAACCGGACAAAATTTGTACGGTGGGTGCCATTGGCACCTTTCCAGCCAGCATCCTTTGATCAGCTGATCAAATCAGATGGTTGGAAAATCTTTGTACGAACAGAGCCAGCAGCCAATGAGCCATTGAAAACAAAAGAAACGGGGGGATTCCTCGAACAATGTGCTTGAAGTGTTGATAGAGAAATCTGCTCTATTTTTCTTCGTTCAGGCCGCAGGTTGAACAAAACAAAATAGAGCAGTGTATGGCTAGCTTTGGACTAACATACATTATTAGAAAGGCAGGACATGGGAAGAACATAGTGTCACATTTTCTTCAGCAGTTAATTGATGGAATAGTGGACAACTGATGAAAAATTCAAACTCACTGGACTTAGTCAATGCTATCTTTTGCAACTGTGTGTACAAGTCACATAACAGACCTTGGGTTATTGCAGATCAAAAGGTAACTGTTACTGCATGTGACTTCCAAGACTTTTTGTCAAAAAGTGTACTGTGAAGGAATTGTTCTCTTTTCTCATGGAAAAAAAAAAGCCTGATATATGATGACAGATTTTATAACATGAGAGATCAAGAAACAATTCTGTAAAGACAGCAGAGTGATCAAGGAAGGAATTTGTGAGGAAGGAAGAAAGGAGTTTACAAGGAATTCTGCAGTACTCGATAGATGGCTTTTCCCAAGAGCAGTCAGTATGCAATAACAATTTCCCTTTCAATTCATGGGCATGAAGTTAGTTATACCACATTCCATAAAAAAAAAACATTTATCGCCCTTAGATGCTAGAATTTGTCACCCAATAATAAACCCAATTGTGCAAAGACTTTTCCTGAAAGATCTGCAGTGAACACATACTGTATAATTAACTATATGATTACAATGCATCACAGAATTATATTCAGATAAAAAATATTTGTCCTAAACAATTAAACAGTTAAACATGAAATACTGAGACCAATAAAATGGAAACAATTGTTGATAAATGTAGACAATACGACACTGAGTTTATATCATACTAGACATTCATATTCTCGATACACAATGTTAAGATTAAATCACAGATGTATAAAACAGCATTTAGTATTCTGTCCATCAAAAAACCTGATAAGCATGTGCTTCAAAACATGTGAGTTGAATACCTGACCCCGAATGAACTTTCAATGTGTGTTGAGTACATGCTATCCATTACCTGGAAAATCTGGGAGGTCAGAGAATTTCAGGCACATGGGCAGCACGTGCCACACAATGTTCTGCACTTATCTTAGCACATTATCACAAAAATCACCCCATTTCCATCTGCCAGCTGCCATCAGCTACCAGGCTTTTCTTTTTTACTTTCACAATGGTACCTGAACAAAAACATGTTTTAAAAGAGCCAGAAGGGCCAACAAATTAGATTGCTTTTTAATTCCCAATAAAGCAACACAAACAATGTCTATTGCTAGCAGTTTTATGCACCATATTATAAACCTTTAATGAATGGAAGTGGGAATTTGTTATAGGATATTGGGAGAAAAACATAAGTTGCCGTCTTAAGGCCTTCCTAATGTTAAAGAGAACAGTTTGTTTTTCAGATATCTAAAAGGAAAACTCCACCCTCTCTACAAATATGTATATATGTAGATACAAATCCATAGATAGCTGCAAAGCAAGCCATCTTTAATATGAAATTACATGAATTATCTTTTACTTTTTTTTAATCTGCAGATGGTTTAATTTTTTTTTCAAAGAATATAAAATATTGGTTCCATGCAATATGTGAACCTGGAAATGCTAATGCCCACAGGAATCTAATTTTCAGCATTTATTACTGGCTCACTTAGTCTGGACAAATAAAGTCAAATTTAGGCATTCCCTGCAATTGGGAGTATTGTTTCAGGGGATTTAGTTTTCAAGGGCCTGTTCACACATACTGTGGTGACGCTTTATTGAAACGGTTCGACACAGGTCACTGCAAGGGCACATAAAAAAAAATATTTTCTATCTTTCCCTTTCACACCACAACGTAGGTGTGATGGGTAGTGCTCTGCAAAAAAAAATAAAAGCAACCATGCTGTATTTTATCACAGTGCACTAGATGCCACTGCAGGTCCCCCTCATAGCAGCACAGCACACCATGCTGCTGTTCAGGGACCTGGATGGAGTGTACTCATTGTACAGTATGCATAATGTAAAAAAAAAAAAAAAAAAGTGACAGAACCGGCAGTGTGCAATACAACGCACACTGCCAGAGCTACCACATTGCACTAGCCTGTCCTCTAAAACTCAGTGGGCATTAAGGCTTATCCACATATTTATAGATGCAGCCACAACATTTATCATTCACTCAAGTTGTTAAAACAAAGGCAGAATTCCCCATTCAGAAAATCAGTTTTAGACCGGACATGGTGAAATAAAAATCAATTTGATCAGAAACAGAAAAGTTATGTATCTGCAAAAAATGTTGTCAAAATCCTAGCAATTTATAAAGTTTACCAAGATGGGATTTTTTTCATTTTCTCCAAAAAACTAGTTACACATTTAGATACACGGTTTTGGTGCACATCCAATCCAAAGAGAAATACACTCATCCCAATAGTTCGAGCCGACGTGTAACACTGCACCTGTCACACGTCGGCTCTATAGACCGGGAACTGAGCGATCACATACCGCATGATCTTCTCCCTGCAGGGGAGCGGCGAGGTTCAGTCACCACTCATCGCAGAGATTCCCATCTCAGTTCCTTCAGAGCTGACTAGAGTGACAGATGGGGGAGAGGGTGTGCACAGCTGGCTCTGCCTCTAGAGAGGTGTCAAAGAGGGAGCGGAGTGGATCCCGACAATATTGTCAGGATTCTTCCAAGCTGCAGTTTGGCTCTGCACTGTCAGTATATAGCGGGCAATAGCAAGCTACATGGTAAGTTTTGGGTCACAGGAGGAAATTAGCAAACGTCCTCCTGTGACCCTAAAGAGAACTACAGTCAAAAAAGGTTTGGCCACAGTTCTCTTTTACGAAAAATAAAAAATACTTTAGAAAATTCTTGCCCCATTCTCACAACAGATGGTTAGTTTGCAAAGGACTAATGCACATGCAGTTTCGGTGAACGAATAGATGTGACTTTTATAATTAGATTCCATAAATTCTATTTTAAAAGTTATTTTTGGCAAAAACGCCCTCCAAATGTGGTCCTATTTGTGTTGAATAAACTCAAATTTGCATGTGCCTTCGTTTTAATAACCTTCTTTCATTGTTTAAATTCACTGCATCAGGTGTCAGTTGAAACTAATTTAGAGGCAATGTTATCAAAAGGTAACATTTCCAAGCTAACAAAAAGCTCATATCTTAGCTAAACAGCAGCCATCTTCAAACAACAGGGTGAATCAGTGCGGAAGGTAGGTGAAGTAAGCAACTCAAGGTGCATTGTTCTGGAAAAATAATCCCACGAACACGTTATAAATGATGACATAACAAATTAGCTTCACTCCGCTCACATGAGTACACATGGTGCTGTCTACTGTAATGCACTGTATGTAAACACAATGAAGAACTAATTTTTTAAAAGGATTGTGGAAAAAGGGACATACAATAGGACAATTAACACTGATAATATTCTAATGAAGACTAATTTAAAAAACACTGCAGTGTAGGAGTGCCGCTTACTATTTAAAACATCTTCCTCGAGAAGCTTTAGATTCTGATTTCTACTATTTAAAGGGTAGCTGCACTTTAAAAATATAAAAATGAAAAAAAAAAAACTCTTTACAAAAATGAATATCGCATATATAATTGTTGCACAAGCCATTTTGTATGCTAATGTGATTATAAATTGCCTTTCCATTTTAAACTGTAGCTGCCGTAATGTTCTAAATCTGTCAAAAAAATTAAATGCAATATGGTAACCTGGAGGCGTTCTGTGCACAGTTGGGTTTCAGAATGCCCCCAGAAATGTCACTTCCTACGTCTGTGTTTGGCTGACTAATTTTCCCAGAAGTCTGTGCTAAGATACAAACATAATTTTTGGCATCCCTTGCAATAAGAATGCCATTTTTGGTGAGATACTCCTTAAGGGTTAATTACTACTTAAGGGGTGCTGACACTGCACTATTCCCCTATTACAACACAGGAAGCTCACAAGCTGATTATAATGAACCCAGACCCTCCCATTCAGGGATCAGTTTGGAAAGGACATGTTGCAACAAACAGCTTTTTCTTCAGTACAGAAACAGGTAAGAAACAGCAACAAAGTATGTTAAAATCCTTGTAATGTACATAGATCACCCAGAGAGGAGTGGAATTACTCTTTAAAGCTTCCTTACATTAGCAAATACATCTTCTCAAACTACAGCCTACTTAAGTACTTGAGTACTTAAAGCAGAACTCAAGCCTCACCTTCTTCTATCACATCTGTCACTCAGTAGAAAATGTGTTCTGTAACTGTCTCCCCTTTCCCTCCCCACTGTATGCCTCCAAATTTTCTTTCACAAAAGAGTTTATAAAAAAAGAAAAAAAACTAAAGCATACAATAGGTAAATACAAGGTGAGGGTAAAGACGATAATGCAAAAATAAAAATGCAAGATGATCAGAATCGATTAGGCCAAAAGACGGAGAACAAGAATATGATTTTCAAATTATGCGCACTCAAAAACCCCTAGTGGGGGCCAATGGGGTATAGGGATAAAAACATGTATTAATCACATGGCTTGTGTGTACTTAAGCCTACATGCTTGAGTAAAATCGCATAAGAAGGTAAGAAACACCTTCTCCAGAGTATATCTGGAGGTGAAGATGGAGCATGAGAAAGAAGAAAACTGTGAAAGAAAGAAGAAAGTGAAAAAAGAGGGGAAAAAATGACAAACATAGAAGAGGGAGAAAGGGTGAGTCCTGGGGGATAGGTCTCAAATGACTATTAAAGACTTGGAAATGAAATGCCAAATCATGAGGGCTGAGAATGGGAGATGCAGGGTTACCAAATAAAAAAAAAAATTACCATGGGTATTTGTTGACATTGTGGTAAATTTTTCATTTATAAATATGCCAGTTAACCGGTTTTAAACTGCCTCAATGCTGAGTGTGGGCCAATCTTCAGGAGACAAAGAGGAGTAAGGTTCAAGGCCCAATGTGTTTGATAGGTCTTAGTGGTCACTTGTTTGGAGGACGCAAGAAAGAAGATGATCAAAGCTATCAGACAGGGCGCGTGAGAGTTTGACCGCCATCTACTTTTAAAAGGGGTTAGAGTATAGGGAAGTAAATGTGCGCAATTCAAAGAAAGTATGAAGTGTCTAATTTGAACTTTCTGGAAGTCGTCCCCTCATTTTCTGACCCTTGTTGGAGATGCAGAAGTACCCCTGATGACATCATACATATTTTCTGCTCCAGTTCTACTCTTCAGGCCTTCTGGGGCTAGGTTAATACTGTGGTCCAAAAATGTACTGATCAACTGATACCCAAAAAATCCTAGTATTTTCTCCTTCACCACAACTTTCTCCCCAACAAGACATATAAAAACTCAGTTATTGTATGTATAGATGATGATGCACATTCCTGCATTCTCAAAATTCCCATCCTTATCCACAATACAATAATAAACCCACAGTAATCCAGAACTCTAAAGTCACTTCCTCCAAGACCCATACTGTGTGGTTCTGCTGGATTGAGCACAGTTTCACTGATGAATATAAGAACCTAATCTATTCCATTTCCTTCCAGCACGCTTCAACTAGTACCCTATTCCCCTCTCCCTTTTTCCTACATCCGGGGAGTGGTTTTATCAAGAGCTCCTATCATTAGCCAGAAATGGGCATAATAATAATAGATTATCTTTATGTTAAAGCAAAGTGAAGGTTAAAGTGAATATAAACACAGATTTAGAAGTGCTGGACTGAAATTTGATTAGCAACCATTGTGAGCCATACAAGGAGAAGGTACTCTTACCAAAAGTGATACAAGGAACTTGTTTAGAAAGACGATCTTCATACAACCAACTCGCAGGGAAACCTTTCCATCCACTTTAGACACATCTTTATAGGCTTCTCCTTGTGTGGCCTCAGGATAGAGTGTCAAATTAAAGTTGAAAACCTCTTCTTCCATGATGCAAACAGCCTAACACAACACAAGAGAACATATGATCATACATATTCAAACAGGAACATTAACCTTGCATTTTTTCTCACTTCTAATGCTAAGGTCTCTGTGTATTTTACAGTACCCTATGCAGCTAGGTAGCAAAAGAGCCCAAAAAACATGACATACACTTAATGGCTCTTGACACTTGCATCCATCTTCAATGTTTCTAATGAGCCGTTGAGGTCTAACAATATAACCTATGAACCATCCTGTCTGTAGAATATGGCTGGATTCTATCCTGTGTCACTCTCTCTCTCAACTGCACCGTAAACCATTTCTCCTGATATTTTCATTTTATTTTCTTTCCTGTATTCCTTTCTCACTCTGTTTTTCCTCCCATGCACTCAGTTGGTTAATGCCTAAGTGGCTATAGTAAATTCTTCTGCCTGATAAGATAGCTGGTGCATTTTGCATTCTGCCTGCACCCCACACCTACATGTCTCCTGGTGTTCAACTGTCTCATGCTAGATTCAGTCTTCTGCCTGTGTTTTGAACAATGTATCTGCCTCAAAGCTGAAGATGTAGTACTTCACTTTGGTGGTGTGTTATCTTGCCAATTGTCGGAAGTGGGATAAACCAAAGAATCAAGTGACAAAACCTTAACTGCTTTTCAGAGGCCTGCCCACAATGAGATAAGCCAATGCCTACCAGTGCCGACACAGAAGATCCAAACCATTCTGTGACAGTTTCGTAGACCCCAGAAGACTAGTTCCCCATCTCTTGATCAGCAGCTCCCTGCTGCTCAATGCATTTTTGTCTCAATATGTGAAGTAAGGAGCATCAGAACGATATTTATAAAGCTCTTTGCTTAAGAAATGTGCAAATTAGGTGATCACACAACCCAGGGTCTGGGAATAATATGTTGTCTATGTCCACACTGCTTTAAGACCAGAGAGAGTCAGTGAGAGTAAGGCCTGGTTCACACCTGGGCGTTTTACAGCATGTTCCTACGCGCTGTAAAAACGCTCAACATGTAAAAAACAATAATTGCCTATGGGCATGGTTCCCACCTGGGCGTTTTACAGCGCGTAGGAACGCGCTGTAAAACGCCCTACGTCCAAATAAGTACAGGAGCTTCTTTGGGGCGTATCCATTAGGATACAGCCGGATAGCGCTCGGAAACGCGCGTTTGTTGCGCGTTTCTTTTTCTGTTAATCGCGGTAAAAACACGCGGCACACACGCATATTCCATACACCCAGGTGTGAACCCAGCCTTATGCTGTATCTGTGCATGCCACCACAACTCTATCCTCAAGACTACCACAAAGCGCAGGAAGTGTACCTTCTAGTTTTAATAGATAAGATCTTTTTGTTCACGATTTATACCTGTTCAGCTCTAATATCTGAAGGTGTGGCCAAATACACAGGTACTAAACCTTTCAATTCTTTTTTACATATCCCCTTTAGCCACGGAAGCCCCATTAACTGCATTGTTTTTTTTCACTGAAAGGGTTCATGTGTTCTCAAAATGAATTGGGGTTATGTTATGTTGAGTAGTTAGTTTCTTGCCTTTACAATTATCATTAAAAAAATAAAAAAAATCTATAATACTGCACACGGTGCCATGTAAAGAAAACCTTTTTATGGATGGTTTGTGGGTTGACGTCATTGACAATAATATCCTTCAGCCTCGCAAAAATGTCTATCTTGCTAGATTCCATGAAAATGGAGGAGTCAAGACCTGAAAAAGAACATTTGTTTTATTTAGAAATAGCATAACATTATGATTTAGCCATTTTCTAAAAGTTATACATTTTAATATAAGCACTTCAATCCTAGTTTGTCCCATTTCATGTCCACGACGGCAGCCAACACAATGTCACACATACATTATTTGTGAAAGTTATCCCTCTAAGGCACTATCACTACATGCAAATGTTCTGCAAAAGGCAGCAGTGATCTTGATGTCTTGTATTTTTCATGTGCTTTTACCACCACGCCCCCTCCCAATATTACAAAATTCTAGCTCTGAATTTGTGAATGAATTTCATAAACAGATTAAATCATAATACAGTTTCAACTTCCCAGTGCTTAATAGGAAACACTGTAAAACCTCACAATTTAAATATAATGAATTATACATATAATATACTGTACACATACAATCTTACGTATGCTACAGAAGTCAGCCGAAATTTTACTAAATAACCTGCATCATCAACAGACTGCTTGCACACATACCCAGTATCTTGATTTCAGCGATATGACTGTCATCATCCCACACATTCATGCTAAAGGAATTCAACTTTGCAAACACCTTGAAAGCAATCAAGTCCTTATCTTTGGAGGTCTTTGTTGCTGAAGAAAAAAAAAATTGTATAAATCAATTTAATCCAACTGCGTCATATACATGTGTCCAACGCCAATATAGCTGATATAACAAACGAATTGCTAGGCAACGCTTCCACACCTAACATATTGCTATAATCTATGATAATGTTTTAACCCATTTGCCACCAGTAAAAATTAAAGCGATCTACAGAACTATTTATCTTTGTTAATACATTTCTTTGTTAATAAATTTCTATCATTCGACTAAATAGAGTATTATACTGAAAACTAGGGATGCACCGATATGGATACTAGTGGGCAATGACTCGCCGCCCGGCTTCCAGATTGGCCGGGAAGCCAGCTCCATGCTGATTACCTGGGAAGTCGGCTTGCCGGGCCAAGCAGCATGGAGCCAGTTTCCTGGCCAATCAGCATGGAGCCGGCTTCTTCTTCCTTGTGTCCTCCAAACAAGTGACCACTAAGACCTATCAAACACATTGGGCCTTGAACCTTACTCCTCTTTGTCTCCTGAAGATTGGCCCACCCTCAGCATTGAGGCAGTTTATCCACGAGTACTCTTACTCGATACTGAAAAAACAGCATCAGTGCATTACTACTGAAAACTATCAACTATAATTTTGGTGCAGCCTTATTATACATAAGGGTAGATGAACCCCTTAAAATGAAAGCATAAAGCTCTGTGACAATATAAAAAGGAAGAGACCATGCTTTCCCTTGTCTTTACAATTATTCCAGAGGAAAACCCTGCTCATTAGTGAAGCTCCCCTGTATGATTCACAGCACTTTTAGTGAAAAATTTCAACATAAACCTTATGTTCTGAGGTCACCACTACACTCTATTTCGGACGAGTTTTAAGTAGATGTGTCTTTTTGGTTGGTCACATGTTAGTTGAGAATTTAAAATGGAGCGTATGTCCATCACAGCTTTTTGTACATTGACATCTGTTAGTTTGCAGCCGTCAATGGTCACAGTAAATACATGTTCATGTCAGTTAATCACATTCATAACTGTCAATGTCTGATAACCTGTTATCATCAGTTCCTAAAACTCTCTGTGTGCAACAGCCTTCATCTGTCTACTGTCTGTGTCTATCTATCATGCATTCTGCACAACACGCTGCAGAATGTATGCTGATTTGTAAGTTACATACAGTGCACAACAGTCTACTGCATTCTGTAAGCTGTGCTGTATGTTTCTAACTGTGCACTACTGCACTCTATACACAGTGCTGTACATTTCAAACTCTGGATAGATGTACTCTTTATGATGTACTCTACAATACATGCTCTGGACTGCTGCTCTCTGCCAGGAAGATCGTGAGGGACCCCAGCCATCGCAATAATGGACTTTTCTCTTTGTTGAGGTCTGGGAAGCGTTTTCGCTTCCTGAAGGCCAACACAGAGAGACTGAGGAGAAGCTTCTTCCCTCAGGCTATACTGTCTCTCAATCAGATCTCTATATAGACATACATTCTACTGCCTGATTAGGTAAATGTTCTTACACTCACATTTACTGCATATCTGCACTTTAAAAAAGAATGGTCAAAGGAAGGTTAATACACTGCTGGTCATCACCTTAATTCATTCACTCCATATTGCTGCTGTTAGCACTCGCACACTTTACACTTCATACTGTATATGCATTTTTTGTCTAATTAAATTTTTAATATTTACATTTTAACATTTATATTTTATTTTGTGATGTAAAAGTCTTATATTATTATTGATTCTTCTCTCTACTTGTACTTCTCCCTCTCCTTCTTGCAGTCGTGTAAGCATTTCACTGCATATCATACTTGTACGATTATGTATGTGACAAATAAATAAATCTATCTATCTCTGTACACAGCCCTGTATATTACACATTCTGGATAGCTGCACTCTTAATGCTGTGCTGTAAGTTAAATACTTCAAACTGCTACTACTTGATGCACTGTGCTGCATATAACATACTCCTGGCTGTTGTACCCTGTATGCCATGCAGAACGTTGCATATTCCAGAGTGCTGCTCGATGCATGCTGCGATGTACATTACATATTCCAGAATGCTGCATTCTGTAAAATGCGCAGTACCATGACCATATTTCATGTTGTGAAATCACAGGAATTTGGGGGGTGACATTACAAAAAAATGTTTTTGTACTTTGCTCATATCTCAACCTTTAAATCCAAATATCTGTTTAGATTTGTGAGAGTAAGTGTCTATTAATGGATATCAAACCCAAACACTTAATTCTGCGCCATGGTGGGTAGTAACCAAGGGCAACAACTATCATGCACGTTAACAAAAAATGCTTTTAAACTGGTCACACACTAAAAAGGTATACTAAATTCACTTAAAATCTAAAATGCCAAAAAACATCAAGCTATTCCACTCAGCATAAACAGATAGGATTTTTGTACTCACCGTCAAATCATTTTCATAAAGTCTCTAGAGGCACAATAGTATGTGCAGGTGACTCCAATATTGCATTAGAATCTAGCTCAGATAGGACAAGTAAAGGGATGACCAAGCTCAAACCCCCTTCAAAAGCGGGGTTGGCCTTCGCCAGAATATTGCGTACACATTCCCTGATTGACATCTGGAGAGAACAGAATCCTATATTAAGAGACTACACACATTTTTCTCATGTGCATGGGACCTATGCGAGAATAGACCACATCTTTATTTCCTCTTCACTGGTCCCCCTAGTAATCTCCTCTCATATTAAAGACGTCGTCTGGTCTGATCATTCGATGGTCACGATGTCCATCTCCCACTTTCGAGACCTTAATAAACCATTTCAGTGGAGATTAAATGAATCTTTATTAAGCGCACCCTTGCTAAGTAAGGAAATATCAGCACGACTATCCTCATACTTCTCTTCGAACATAGACCCGAATATATCTCCAGTTATGATTTGGGCTGCCCACAAGGCGACCATTCAGGGTACATTTATGGAACAGTCCACTAGACTTAAAAAACAAACTTCTAAGTATATAACAGAATTGGAGGGTAAGTTAAAAATGCTGACCCGACAACACAAACAATCTCCTTGTCCTCCCCTTCTCCATAATATCGAAAGCGTATGAACTGAGCTGGATCTGCTTCTGACTACAAAAGCAGTAAAAAGCCTTCGCTGGTCGGCCAATAAATTCTATTTACATAAAGACCGAATAGGTTCATTATTGGCCTCTAAACTCTCCCCTAGACCCCGCAATCTCCCAATGCCTAAAATTAGATGTAGAAGTGGTAACTATACCCAGAATCCAAAAAAAGTACTTCAGGAATTTCACAATTGTTACTCTTTATTATATGAAGTGCACACACAGACTCCAGGGGACCGGATGGCTAAGTTCCTTAGTAACCTTTCGATTCCGGTTCTATCACCCAAACATAAGCAAATTTTAGAAGCCCCGATCTCCTTGCAAGAAATCGAAACGGTAATCAAAATGGCGAAATCCGATTCAGCTCCAGGTCCAGATGGCTCACCTACCACATACTACAAAAAATATGTAGAGGTATTGGCACCTCATATAGAAGCCTTTTTTAATGCCTTACACTCAGGAGCCTCCCTTGACCTGGACCTGAATAGAGCCTATATTAGTGTCATTCACAAGCCTCACAAAGACCCAGGTGAAGTCTCTAATTACAGACCGATCTCATTGATCAATAATGATATCAAATTTCTATCTAAAATGTATGCCAATAGATTGAACACTTTTCTAGGTAACTATATACTATTTAACTATAACAATTTATGCAGCACAACTAGGTCCATTCACTAAATTGGTCTACATGGTTGCATGGGAATCTGATCTAGGGGTAACACTTTCTATGGAAGAATGGAAACAGTGTACCATGAGATTGATTAAGGGACTGCTCAATGTCTCCTTATTAGAGGCTAACTATAAGGTTTTCTCGATGGTAACCGGTACCAGCTAGGTTAGCGACCATGTTTCCAGGGACCAGTGGCCTATGCTTTAGAGGATGCAATCAACAGGGCACTATGATTCACGTTTGGTGGGAGTGTCCAAAATTGCGTCCGTTTTGGAATAGGTTTTTTGCCCTGCTTTTTAGGATTCTCCGGGTCCAAAGCACCTACTACTGAACAAACCGGTTCCGGATATTCCGAAAGTGCAGAGCAAACTCCTATCTTTTTTTCCTTTTAGCGGCTAAGATTTCAATCGCCCGGGCCTGGAAAACCGAAAGGGTAACATTTTCTATGGCACGGTCTAAATTAAACTGGATTATGATCCACGAGAAACTTTATAGTATCTTGCAGGACAGAAATATGAACTTTGAAGCAGTATGGGAGCCATGGTTGACAATCTTTCGGGCACATCGTGAGCTTGCCCAGGTTAAACATTGTATTGGAAATTTGAACCGCAGGAGTCTGCAACTTTTTCTTTCTCTCGATCTTTCTCTTTTCTTATTTCTTTTCTTTCTAATTTAATAGTGTTTCCGTTTGTTATTGTCTGGCAAGAGGTATGATCTAGTCCACCAGAGGGAACTACCATGTGTAGACATAGTAAGAAATAGCTACACTCTTAAAGGTAAGAAGATAATTAATAAAACTACCTGTCCCCAGATATAAAGTAGATGGCTTTTATGGTTTAATTATACATAGCTAATGGGACTATCAAGGCCTTGAATATTCTTAAAGGGGGAAGTGGGTACAGTGTCGACACTAAAGACTACCAGATGATTTGCTGTGATGCACATGCTATTTGACTGTAACAAAACATTTCTTTATAAAAAAATGGAAAACCAATAAAAACTTTGACAGAAAGTCCCTAGAGGGACACAGACAATTTAAGCCTGTGATTTATAATACCAGCTACAGGAGGATTGGACACTGGTAAATAAGAAAATGTTAGGCCATCAAAGACTAACACCTACTACCAGCATGCCTCAGTTTTGTAGCAAAACATTCCTGAGAGCATGATCATAAAAACAGAGGGGATAGACCTGTGTTAGTCAATGGACTCCAAGAAAAGGATTTTACATTAGGTACAAAAATCATATTTTCTTTTTCATCCATTTAGGAACACAAAAGGTCTTTCACTTTTAGGATGTCCAAAAACAGTCTAGCTGAGAGTTGGGCAGCACAGCAAGCAAATACCAACTTGCCCAAGAAAAAAAAACTGGACTGGGACTGCCTGCAGCTTAAAGAGCCACTTAATAAACCTTACACCCGAAGATTCCAATAGATGACAACAACATCCGCCTAGTAGACCTTAGCGAACATGTGAACACAGGACCAGATGACAGCCTTGCAAAACCTTTAAATGCCTGATTTTGAAAAGCCCAAGAAGCACTCACAGATCTAGTAGAGTGCACCTTGGCAGAAAAGGGTGCAATCCAATCTTTCAGACCATAAGCCTTGATGATAGTCTGGCTGAGCCACTTACAGATTGTGGGATAAAAGGCTAAAGCAACCTTATAGGGTCCAGCTAGGATGACAAAAAAGGGAATCAATGTCCCTAAAGGAAGCAGTGGCGTAGAGACAGACTCTCACAACCCGAATCACATCCACACAATGGAGGGAAAATTACTTTTGGTGAACTTACCCAAGACACAAGGACAGGAGAACAACGTCCTGGTTGGGGAAAGAGTCTAAGAAAGTCCTGGGTCTTAATAACACCTTGACTAAATGCAAAAGCAGAAAGGGTTAATTGTAGGATAAATGTAATAATTATACAGGCCCTGAGAATTCTGAATAATAGTTCATCTATCCTACACCAATTAAAGTTTACAAAATATTAAGAACATTTCTGGTGTAGAGGTAATTCCAAAGCTAAATAGTAATCAACTAAATTAATGTAGCAAGCGTGATAAAAAGCCTCGTGCTCCTGGTCCAAAGGTAGAGGAGTGGGAGGAACAGGAACTGGCATAGGATCAAAACAAACAGCAGTGAAAAAAAGCCCAAATAGTGTAGTATTTCAAGAATATTTATTCAAAAAATATAGATAATATCACACTCACAAAAGTGGTGAAGTATGGTGTTAAGTGAGCGGCCACTGACAAAAGTCCAGCTCTAGCCATGGGCAGAAGGGACAGTCTCTTGCTTCACCCCATGCTTCACAATATGAGTATGATGTCATCCCCCAGTCCCACAGTGGTAACCCCTTCCATGGTGAAACCTGTGGGAAATCTTAAAGGTGAACAGCAACCTAAGTAATTGAGATAGCTCCAGCTTGACTGGCTCACTCACAAACTGAGTCTTTAAAGACAAGGCAGGAGTTGAGGCAATGCCAGCAGCTCTGGAAACTCTGAAAGCTAGGCCTAGAATGGAACCAACAGACAGCATAAAATAAAGATATAAGCTCTAGCAGTGCAGCAGTGTATTCTCATGTAGAGAGGAGTCTTTGACTGAAAAAGAACATGCTTGAAAAGAGGTGCTGGCAAAAAATTGGTTCGTTTTCCCACACAGCAGGGCTGAAGAGAAGACATCCATTCTTCTAGGACACTAGCAAAAAATAGAGGCATACTGGTAAGCAGGCTGAGTTGGCCTACATTTTTTTTCTTGCCAGTGTGCAATCCTCCTGTAGGCAGCAGTATAACTTAAAAGGTGAAAGACTTACTGTATCCCTCAATGGACAAGAAAGAAATATAAAAATATAGGATACATTTGTGGCCAAAATAGGGTCTGTGCCTATATTGCATGGACTCATAGTTTTCATGCTGACACAGATGTCACTCAGCAAAGTTGGCAGTGCAGGACTAGAGCAGAGTTTGGTCTCTGAAGGAAGTAACCATTGACACCATCCTTCAACCCACTGATCATAATTAATTTAAGGGGGCACGAAGATTCTACCACAGTAAAAAGGGGCCCTCTGTACACTGTCCAGCGACAATTTCCAGACAGTTGCACTCTTTACTCTGTGCTGTACATTTAATATTTGAGATTGCTTTACATTACATACTCCTGACCTCCATACACCTTGATGTACGTAGCTTACTCCAGACCACCACACTGTCCTCTCTACTCTAGAGTGCCTCATTCTGTAAACTGTGCTGTATGTTAGATACACGGGACTGATGCACTCTGTAAACTATTCTGTACATGACATACTCTTGACCTCTGGGTTCCATGCACATTACAGTTTGGGCCACTGTGCTTTGTATGCCGTGCTGTATATTACAAGCTCTGGTCCATTGCAATATGTATGCTGTTCTGTATACCATGTCCCACTAACTGCTACAATGTGTATGATGTGCTGTATATTATATTTCCCAGACTACAGGACTCTGTATGCCTTACATTTTTCTTACTGTTTAACACATACATTTGCCACAATAATATTTACAAACTATACATACGTGTCATAATTTTTAACATATTTTTGTAAACAAACGGTGGATACTGTATACTACAGTTTCTCTCTCATTTTAACAAATGCTAGAGATTTTTTTAAAGTTATCCGCATTATCTTTCCCCGTCAGAAAAGATATTTGAATTTGGTAAAACACATAAGTCCATGACAAAAAAGGAACATAACGTGGTCTGACACATTAATGTTCCATGATAAAATAGCCGTTGTCATTACAGAATGAGTTAAACAGCTCGGCCCCCACACTGGCTGCACAATGTTGTTTCACGTTAAGTAGTAGGAGGAAGAGCGATAAGGTTTATGCCACTACATCATAGCTGGTTTCCACAATGAGCCAATATTTGTCTTGGGTTTTACCTTTCTTGACAAATGTCTCTTTGTCCTGTTGCTTCTGTGCAGAGGCAGGCTCTGTCTTATCAGCAATGCTCGGCATGGCTTCTGTTATGAAGCTGATAGCAGAGAGCAATGCCTGAGAGTGCAGCAGGAGCTCCATCGATGAAAAGGCCACCTGTTGGAAACAGATACATGTTTATATGCATCTTGTTGGAAACCAGCACTCAGTGCAAAGTGTAATTCATGACTGCATGTCTACTGTGGAAAATGAAGTCAGTGGATGTTTTCCACAAAGCAATCAATTAAAGCCTCAAATATAGAAAGAAGTCATGACATGTAGAAACTTAGTGTTATTTTTTAATGGGTGATAACCTGCTTGCTAATCTTCATAAATGTACTTAAACATTGCTTTTTTCATAAAAAATATATAATTGTGTTCTACTAACACCAGTAGTGGTTAATAGCACTACTTACACAACAGACTAAGTAAGGCTATCTTGCTACTAAAAGATATAATTTGGCGGCACTTCACAGAGCTACATAGGAAATTAGCTCAATACTGGTACTAAAATTGCTAGAAATTTAAATCACTAGGTTTAGCAAATCATGGCTAAATACATGGAACCTATGATAGTAGCATGCAGTAGCAATCTCCCATGATCACCCAACACTCCTGGTCCAGGCCAAAAAAAAAAAAAACATTTCTAAAATATGTGTTCAGTTAGGCAAGTAATTTCCTTTTCACATGTTTTCCAGGCTACCTTCAGCTCCTCTGTTAAAAAAATATGCTGTTTTGAGAGCTCAGTAACTCAAGCTAAAATGTATATATGCAGGTAAATGATACATCAAGCCTTTTCACAGGTCTGCATATAAGTTTCAAATAAAACCAGAAAGCCTGAAAGGAAACCGCTTTTGCTGTCCTCTCTGTTTTTTTAAACGCACAATGTTTTGTGAATCCGGTGCTGCACTCTATACTAAATACAAAGATTAAAAATAAATACAAAAGAATAACAAATATGAAACATCAGTTTGAAAAAGAGTACATTGAAAAAAAACATTAAATTGGCCAAAAAACATCTGACGAATTCATAGATCAATTTAGATTTATAGCATAACATTTTCTGTTAACAGGCTTAAAGCAAGCCTCTGCTTTGCCAGCAACTTACCCAGGACTTTGCTTTGCACTACCTGTGACTGAAGAGAGCACCGGGGGAGTGATAGAACGGCAAGTATAAACATCTTTAGAGGGCTGAAATAAAGTGACTTTGTTGCTTTGCCCTGATTAGGCAAAGCACAGATTTACATGAACGTGAAATTGCACCATGAAAAAATGCATGTGGGTTGCATCATCAATGCCATTGTGGAATGGGAGAGCATTGAGCGGTTATAGGTGAAACAGGGAAAACACAGGAGGTAAAGTTGCCATAATGTGCTGTAAATACATTATTGCATCTCCTACACCTATCGCAACCCCACACCTTTAGGTTACACTTTAGATTAAAAACGTTTTTCCTAAAATAACTATAAAGGCAGTCCCCGACTTACGGACAACCCGTACTTACGAACCGAGGACCACAGTTCTCCTATATGTACCGGCAGACGCCAGCTGCCGGTACATTTAGGAAAACTGTGGCTGCAGCGGCCTGTGTCCCTTCAAATCCCAGCTGCTCTCCCCGCCTGTGTTGGCGGAGGCAGCAGGGACACAGACCGCTGCATTCCTCTGCTGCACCTCATACCTCCGCTGCTGCCCTGGCCGGTACCTCCTCTTCTCCCGGTCCGTCTGCTCCTCCTCAGCCCCGCCCCCCTGCCTCCTCTTCATCTGCAGCTTGCTATTGGATATTTAAAAATGCAATAGAAGGCTGGCTATTGCACCCGCCCGCTGCCTATCAGCATGGGAGGACCTGATAGAGAACTTTCTCCTTCACGCCCCTCCTCTGCTGATTGACAGCATGTATGTAACCCAGGGACTGCCTGTACATGCCACTGTGTAATATGTGTTCCGTAAGCCATGTTTTATTTATTGTATGTTTTATAACAGAGCTGTAAAACGCTCACTGGAAAAATTATTTTCTTGGAGTCCATTGTGGGACATTTTAATTTTTAAAGGAGAACTATGAGGCGAGTGCTTTTCACTCACCTCCTAGTTCTAGCCGACCTGTGACAATGTGACTGTCACAGGTCGGCTCAGTAGATCGGGAGGTGAGCGAACACATACCGGCGTTCGCTCACCTCTCGATCTTGTCACAGTCCTCTGCCATGACAGGGGCTGGATTCCCCCCTCCACCAGCGCTGACTGGCGGATCGGACGGGGGAGGGGGCGGTATACTGTGGCGTCTCAGTATACTGCGAGCTGTAGCTCGCAGTATACTGAGCTTAGGGTGACGGGAGGACGCTGTTTTGTGTCCTCCCGTTACCCTAAGGAGAACTATGGGGAATAGCCTTAACCCCATAGTTCTCCTTTAAATCACTGGGTTATACTGGCACTACAGGAGGATTGGACACAGGGAAAGAAAAAAAACTGTAGGCCCACCCAGGATAACTCCTGCTATTACCAGAAAGCCTCACATTTTTAGTGTCTTCGTATCCTTTCTTTAGTTTTACTGTGTTAAAAGCCCCAGCTATCCAGCACAATTGTCCTCAGCATAGCTTTGGAATACCACATCCAAAAGCCAAACCTTGCTTGATTGGATGTTGCAGGGATAGCTTGCAAGTGACCTTCAGGCACTGGGTTCTGCGTGTGGCGCTTGGTAAAGGGCAAAAGTTCCCTGTATAGTGCTTTCCAGTTCCAGATTTGCTGGCATTGTCTCAGCCGTTGCTCGGTTTCTGAAGACTCACTTTGTGAGAGTGCTTGTTGGGCCGACCATCAGGAACTACCTAACTTGCATAGGTCACTGGACATCTTTATTTTCCATTCCCGCTGGTTTTTGCCCTTGAAGGGGTTGATGCTATAGAACTGGGAACAGATATTACCTGCTGAACAAAGTGTCATGAATGCATTCTGCATTCTCTTTCCGGCCATGCAGCATTAAGAAAGCATCTTCCTGCTGATGCTCATGCTTGCAAGAGAAATGTGGAACTCAAGTCTTCAATCCATTCCTGTTGCCCGCCTACATTGACCATGGTCACCTCCAGCCATCTAATCCTCACCTACCAGCTTGTTTGCCAGTATCAAATCCTCTTGTAGGCAGTTGTATAACCCAAAGGTTTAAGAATTTCTGTGTACCCTCCATGAAAGAGAAAGAAATCAAGATTAAAATAGAATTTTGTGTATTTCCCAGTCTGTACCTTTAGGGTCTGTTCAGTGTTCTCAAAGGTAGTTTGAAATTTTGGACCATTCTTGTCAGCCTAGAATAATAAAAAAAGTAAAATAAAATAGGTTTAGCTTGCAATGCGTATAAACATAAAATGAATGTAAAAAATAATATTTCATTTAAGGCACTTATATTATGAGATACCAATTTAACTGTAGATGGATGCACAGGTGCCCCGTGTACCAAAAGACAAGATAAATGTGATAAGAACAATAACATCACTTACCTTAATATATTCAACTTTCAAGAGATCCAGCCCTTCTATATCTGAAGAGTTTATTAAATGAAGAGGCTGTGTGCAGAGACCTGCATTATTAACAAAGTATGGTTATGCCTTATGTTTAGATTTAATTTACCTACTATTCATGAAAACTATGTAGAAAATAAGCAGCATTGTATCTAGCAGGGGTCAGTACAGATGTACAGCACTAAAGATGCAAACTCAGAAAAGCAAAAGTGTGACAGGCAAAACTTAACAATGACTTTATAATAAAGTGTGACAAGCAAAACATAACAATAATACTAGTATAAAGTAATAAAGATTTTTCTCTTTTTTTGGCCTCTAATTTCATTGCTATTGCTCATTATATGGTTGCTATGTAAAGTTAGTCAGTCATAAAACTTATTAACGCTTCTTATCAAACAAAATTAGATTTTTTTGAAACAGCGGTATAACAACATATATCTGTAAAAAATAATTCAAGGCAACTGGACTTGCTGTATTTTTCTTGAAGATGTTTCACTGGTCATCCAAGTAGCGTTCTCAATTCAGAATGACTTGTATGAAAAATTCTCTGGGAATAAATATGGTGAATGTCGCTCCAATCCACATAATCTATTAGTCGCAACAAGGTGGTGATTGCATTTGCATAATTGGAGTCTAGGAGGTGTTAAAACAGCATTGTATGTGGCAGACAATAGATGTCTCACCACCCCACCTCTATTCAAGCTTGGCTTCTCCATTTTTACATAAATGGCCTCTTTCACACCTCTTTTAAACCAGTCCTCCTCCATGTCTAGGATGCGTACATGACTGTCTTCAAAGGAGTGACCCTTTTTCTTTAGATGTAGGTATACTGCCGAATCCTGACCAGAGGGTTTTGCTCTTCTATGCTGTGCCATACGCTGGTGTAGCTGCTGTTTTGTTTCACTGACATACAATTCTGAGCACTCACTGCACTGGACTGCATACACAATGTTGTTCATCTTGCATGTTGGTGTTAGGTCTTTTGGGTGAACCAGTTGTTGCCTCAGTGTATTGCTGGGTTTAAAGCAGGCAGGGATGTGATGTTTTAAAAAAAACCCTTCTGAGTTTCTCAGACACCCCAGCTACATATTGGATGACCTAATTCTTCCGTTTGTCATCCCATATGTAGCTGGAGTGGCTGGGAAACTATACCTTTTCAGACATTATTTTATCTATTCAGATGTTATTGTACCTTTTCAGACTCATTTTTCCTAGTCACACGTTGTTTTACCCATTCTTACAATATTTTACCTGTTAGAATGTTATTTTACCTATTCAAATGTTATTTTACCTATTCGAACATTATTTTACCTACCGCGTTTCCCCGAAAATAAGACAGTCTTATATTTTTTTTTTCCTACGAAAAAAGACACTAGGTCCTATTTTCGGGGGATGTCTTACCTGGCTGCAGCTGTCCGCTCTGCTGTCCAGGGAGCCACAGACAGGTGGGCGGGCGTGCGTGAGCTGCGGCTAGCGTTATGATGCCGTCCAGGGAGCCGCTCTGGGTGCTCTGTCAGCCAATTGGAAGGCTTCTGGCAGTGTGTGGGGGGGCCCGGTCTGTCCTCGGCACGCACTGTGGTCAGGATGATGAAGAGCCGCTCGGCTCAGTAACGGTCTGGTGGGCTGGTCGGACGTGCAGGCGGGAGCTGCGGCTAGCACTATCTTCAGGAATTTCTGTAATATGAGATCTACCACCGAACTAGGTCTTATTTTCGGGGTAGGTCTTATATTACAGAAATCCCTGAAGATAGTGCTAGGTCTTATTTTTGGGGTAGGTCTTACTTTCAGGGAAACACGGTATTGAGATGTTATTTTAACAACTTGAAAGAAAAAATATGCTAGAAATGAAATTCCCAAAGAGAAAATCTCCTTTCATCACTCAGTATCAAGGTGTAGATTTTTCACCTCCTTCAAGGTAGTGTTATGACCGATTTCAGGTGTAATATGATGCTTGTGGAACTGCGATGAAGAGAGGTATATAGAAATGGAATAATATTTCTTCATTTTAACTGGATGCTTAACTGAATGCTATTGCATGACGCAGAAAGAAAAAAGGTAGCATTGAGTTGAAGTTTTTGTCCGTGTACAAATTTGGATGTTTTTTTGCAGTTAAGAGTTCATTAAAATGTCTCTAGACAATGGGGTTTAATGCAAGTGGATTGTTCTATGCTACAAATTTAATATCAAAACAGATTTAGGGTGGTCAGTTGAATTGCTTGCCCTACCTACACCAAGAGGGGAATTTATCAAAACTGGAGCAGACAAAATCTGGAGCAGTGGTGCCTGGCAACCAATAAGCTTCTCTCTTCACTTTGTTCAGTTATGATTTGAAAATGAAAGAGAGATGCTGATTGGTTGTCATGGATAGCTGCTCTAGATTTTGTCTGCTCTAGTTTTGATAAATTCCCCTCCGAGTGTCGACAGATGTAGTTATCAATTAACCTAATATTTACTATATTTATTCTGTTCAGTAAAAGTGATATTGCTGTTTCATTAATGATTACTTTATGATCCTATATTTAAATTAGTATGCAGGTGGCACAAATATTCCTTATATGTCGAAACCTTGTGTGCTGAAAGTGAACTGCTCCATAGCTTCTGCTGCCAAAATGCGAAGTGCTAAAATAACACCCAAAACATTATTTTATCACGGCAATAGATAAAACGTATAATATCAGCTGAGACCACACTAATCACACGTTAAGCTAAAAATGCAATAACAAATGTTTTTTCACAGTTTTTGTGAGCTGTGTGTTTCAGCTATCAATAGAGAAAATAAGAACAAATAAAACAAAAAAGTGCAAAAGGTAAAATAAGAACAGATAATCAACTTCAACTCTGTGAGCTGATCCAGAAAATAATAAAAAGGGGGGGACACAAAAAGAAACTGTATATATATATATATATACACACACTATATTGCAATTATTATGGAGAGCATTATTAACAATTTAAATTGCAACTGAATCGAAGAGGGTTTTCTTTGTAGTTTCAGATAGAATGAAGAGGGATTAGAACACCCATCAGGTTTTTATTGCTGTCTGTTTGCCAGTTAGGGAGATTCAGCCATTCTTTTCCATTGGTGAGTGCTACCACTGAAATTGATAAAATCCCAGTTGTCATCAGAAAATGAATAGATGGGACTGTGGGACAGGAAGTGAAAGGAAATCTCCCCAATGGGATAAAGATGGCAAAAAGCTAACGAGATATAACCCTCACTTACCCTGTTAAAAAAAAAAAGCTTCAGTTGTATTTTAGGTAAGAAGCAAAGGGCATAATGTGTAGTTTGCTTTACCTTGAACATCATAGTAGTCCAGATTAATTGTCTTTAGATAGGACACAGCTTGAAGATCATAGGTATTAATGCAAGCTTCAGTACCCAACTGCTGAATACTGAACACCAGGACCGTGATCTCCTCTTTCTGTTGTTGTTTAGTCAATTCTAAAATTACCTAAAGAGTCAAGGTACCATGTCAGTTAGAAGACCACATACAATAGATATAAAATTATAATGCAGCAAAAAAAAAAAATGATACAATTATAAATGCATAAAGATTATTGTGTACATTAACTTACTTCTTTCACTTCAAATTTTAGGTGTAGATCTGCCAGCTCCTCAGGGGTGGTCTCTGCTGCAGGTGCTGCATCGTTCTTACCTGGGTGCCCTTTGGTGACTGGCTTACTTATTTTAAATGAAGGATCAGAATCTTTAGTGTCAAAGAACTCTTCATCTGAGTCTATAGGAATACAGTAAGCACACACAATAGTACAATGTGTAAATCTGTGTATGGAGAGATCATTCTGTTTTGCAGTTTCCTTATGTTTAGTTGAACAGAGCCTGTTGTTTACAAAACCCGATAGCTGAAGCTGAAATGTAGACAAAGTCTACTTTCCATGTCTGAAAAGACTGTAAAGGCAGTGAGAATATACATTACATGAAACAACAATAACTGCTATTACTAGAGGTGCACCAAAATGATAATTTCAAAACCGAAACTTAAAAAAAATGTCAGGCCGAAACGGAATTTTTTTATTTAAATTTTTGAAATATTTTGTTTTTATTTATTTTTTATAAACTTTAAAAAAAATATATATTTTTATCTATTCATTTTTTATTAAATATTTTTATTTTTTACTTTACTTTTAGGGGCTTCGGGGAAATATTGGGAGTCTAAACAGACCCCTGATATTTCCCTTTTAAATAGAAAAAGAGATTGAGGACAGTCTTTTTCTGCAGCCCCTGTTATCAATGAACAGGAATCCTCTATACTGAGTGCTCCTGTCCATTCATAACATGAGAACAGAGTACGGTTACTATAACCACAATTATGAATGAACAGGAGGTGATGTAGATCACTTCCCATTCATTCATAATTGAGGATATAGTCAACATACTCTGTCCTCAATTATTTACAAACACTCAGCGATCACTGAGGCTGGTTAAACACCTGGGCGCACTATAGGCGCGTTTTTTAGTTCAGTGAAACGCAAGTTTTTATACCTCCATGGCATTTTTATACCTCCCGTTTTTATTTTTTCCCTTTATTTTCTCTATCTTTTTTTTACTTTTAATTTTCCCGCTGGTTCCACCCTGCTGCGATGCGGATGCTCGCAAGGGATGGAACCCGGAAGACGGCAGCAACTGGAGGACACAGCGGGGATCGTGGACAAGGTAAGACCTACGCTGTATTCCCGAGTGTGGCTCGGGGTTACCCAGTTGTTAACCCCGAGCCACACTCGGGAATAACAATGTATACGCGCTGAAATACGCCCCAAAAAAGCTCCTGTACTTGTTTGGGCGTAGGGCGTTTTTCAGCGCGTTTCCACGGAATGAAATACGCTGAGGTGAGAACCATGCCCATAGGAAAGTATTAGATTTCACCTGCTGAGCGTTTTTCAGCGCTTCGATCAGCTCTGAAAAACGCCCAGGTGTGAACCCAGCCTGAGTGTTTGTACCTCGCTTTCCATCCTGACACGCTGTCACAGGAGGCTGAGTGAGCAGAGCTCAGCCTGCTGTGACAGCGCTGGCTGTCTCCTCCCACGCTGCTCTCCTCCGATCTGTGACAGGAGGCTGAGCGGTGTGGGAGGAGAGACGCCGGCCGCTCACAACGCTCTCCTCTTGCAGCGCTCAGCCGCCTGTGACACTTTCTATTCTCCCCGCGAGTACACAGGGCAGCAATCAGCGGGGAGAAGAGAAAGAATAGATGCACCGCTGTAGCAGCCAGAAAATGCCTCTTTCGGCATTATGCCAAAATTGCAATTTTCAGCCAATATGTTTCGGCGGCTGATATATCGGTGCATCCCTAGTTATTACATTAATAACATTTGATTAATCACTGAAAAACTGGATAGAGGATCAGACTTTATTTTCAGATTGTTTTCCCAATCCTCTTTCTAGGATCCAAGCAGTGCAAGATTCCTGGAAATGAGTATGCAGCATCAATAAACAACATCTTACCAGCACAGGGCACATAGTGTATTAAATGTAGATTTGTGCAGATTAGTTACTAAAGGCAATGTAGATTACCAATTGTAATGATTATACCCAGCTGTTTAAAGCAGAACCAAACAGCACAAACATGTTGGGGCCCCAGGAGCTATTGATATATTGTGCAAGTATGCTTAGCATATTTACACATCATAGCACACTTACCTTGCACAGTGCCCCCTTCTAACAATATGTTGTCCACTCTCCTCTCCATCACTGGCACTTCCATAAATAAGCAAGACTGGACTCTACTCTGATGCTAACAAACTGTGCTCAAGCTGAAGCAACTGTGGGTGCTCAATGGGTATGTCTCTCCCAAATAGGATCCAACATAAAACAGAAACAGGTCACACCACTGCTACTTCTTCAATAAAACGTTATTCCCTGGGTATGCACAGCTCAGTGTACATTGCTGGTAGGGGAGAAGTATTTATGGCAGAAGAGACATACAAAGTCTCTACCGTCATAAAAGGCTACATGTTTGTTTTTTTTCTAAATACACTTAAAGGGTAAGTCCAATTTCCCAAGTGAATTTTGGAAAACGGAATTACCCCCTCCAATCTGGCCCCCTCTCCCCCACTATACTAACATTTCGGCAAATGCTCCTTCCCCTCCGCCCATATGTGTGTACTATCCGTACCCCATGGATTTTGAATTTCGATTGCAAATGGCGATTACCTCACCGTGCGGACCAATGAGAAGTGCTTCTTAGTAAAAAGCGCTTCTCACTGGTCAGCGTAATCAGAAGCACTTCTGATTGGTCAAGTGACATGTATATGTGTATAGCGGTAGGGGGGGGCGAGGGGCCATACGGGATTGGGCAATTCCATTTTCCCAAATTCACTTGGGAAAGCGAACTTATCCTTTAAGTTCCACTTTAACCATTTTTTAGGTTAATGATATGATTAGTGTTGATATCAGCATATTATTTTCAGTAAATCGGCTGACTCAAGCATGTTAATATTAAATACAGAATGAGAAGATTATTTCCATCAAACTGATCTCATTTAATAGTATATCCAAAACAGTATAATTTACTTTAAAATAGACTAGCAAACGTTTTGGGATTAGGAAGGGAGGGGACTGCGATCAGGACAGCTATGGTGGTGAAAGTAGGTGGATTGAGGTGGGGCAACTGAAGCAGTGACAGTAGGTCTGAATCGGGCGAAGGCACGGTTCTGTGTTTCAGGAGGGGTAAAATAAGGTGTTGGGGGGGAGGAGTGGTTAGAGTGGGGGAAGAGTGGTGAGGGCAGGAGTGGGTAGGCGGCAGAATGGTGAGAAAGTGTAGAAAAATATGTGGAGTTGTGTGGCAGAGTGATGACAAAGGGGTGCAGGGTAAAATGGTGAGAGACAAAATTTCAAGGCAGGGCAGATGGAGTGACAGGTTATCATCCTGCTCTACAATATGACAGCAGGATTTAGTGCAAGCCTGGTAGTAAACTCATAGAGTCCCCATAATGGTGCAATACTGCACATGTGTCATCATGTTGGCTCATCTTGATGATGCAACCACCGGCCATTTTTGTTTATGAAAATATTAAGTCCAAACTAAACTAACAATATTTGTCTTTAAAAAACTAATCTGATGCCCATCCTATATTTTTATTAGTAACTTGAAATCTGCATTTGAACATGAAAATAAGAGGGAGCAAACTCCACTAAAGACAAGAGAAAAATATACTTATCTCTAGCCTGCTACTAACATATATGCACACTGAAAGTTTCTGTATGTTACATTTTAGTTATTAGTCATTAGTTATAATCACAATCTTTATTTTTATTTTATATATATTAATATATAGCTTGTGATTTAAACCGACAACGTGGTATCTCAGTAATATTCTATTCCATCCATATTAGGGAATATTAAATTAATATATAAACACTAAGATGAAGACTGTCCTATTACATTGCTTTATGTTGTAGATGTTTTTTGTATATGTCTGGATGAAAACAATAAAAAAACTTTTGAAAGTAAATTAATATATAAAACACATTCCTTTTCAACACTTTGTCTATAAAAATCTGTATCCACATTTTACACCCTAATCCTTTGGAGGTGAACATTACTCAGCAAGGAACAATGCAACGTGTTGTTTACCTGATGAGACCTCCTCCAGAAGCAAAGACTTTTCAATCTCTAGTTTTAAGAGTTTTTCTGGTCTTCTGGATAGAATTGGGACAACATCAATCTGGATTTTTCCAAGAAAAACACAACCTTTTTAGAAGATCACAAGACACAATTCACAAAAGCATAACAGATGTATTTGCATTCTTTTTTTTTTTGCCTTTTCTAATGCACACTGTTTAATTGACTAAATGCATTACTGTAAATTCATGAATTTACTGCACACTTTTTTATTGCTTTTTTTAGATATATTGACTGTAAAGGACAATTCACAAATAATATTGCCCTAGTTTTTGCTCTTTAAAACATACTAGCTTCATGCTGGCATTACATATGTTTCAATGAGGTGCCCATTGAGGGGAGCAGGAAAAATGACAATTTCACACCAATATGGTATTTATTTTGTGCATTGGACAACTTTAATGAGAAAATGGTCATGAGATAAAATATTGACCACAAGTAAAAGAATTAATTTGACTTTATGAATGTGGGATAATGTCTCCAAATACGTTATATCATATGTATGAAACTATGTAACCATTCCAGGGTATGATAGCTAGTCCAATTATTATATAGTGAGCAAAAGGAACTAAAAATCCTTCCACTAAATCACTGTACATGCAGTATTATCTTCTTAAAGAAGGTGCTTAAATAGCGACACTTCTACCACATTCAAAAAAAGGCTCATGTGTTCCTTTTGGTTCATCTCACCATAACTATTAGCCTTGCACCTACCCCTCAAGCCTTGAAAGGGGCAAGGTTTCCATATTCTACAATGAAGATGGCCAAAAAGCCAGCAAACTGGAACACACGGCTCAGTAGCAATGTTGATTACATAGATATAAAAGAGTGATCTGCATGGCTCCACCATCTATCCAAAATGAGAGGATTAAACAGAGGGAGGGGAATTCATCAAAACTGGAGCAGACAAAATCTGAAGCAGTTGGCCAGGGCAACCAATCAGCTTCTCTCTTCAGTTTGTTCAGTTAAGATTTGAAAATTAAAGAGGAGCGGATTGGCTGCCATGCACAGCTGTTGCAGATTTTGGCTGCTCCAGTTTTTATAAAATTCCCCTAATATGTTTCTTGTATTTTGGCTTTGTGACCGAAGTGATGACAATTTTGTTGCATTTCAAGACGACATTACCATGCTTAATTTAGTTACTGTTTAGTGTAAAATAATCCTGTGTGGACAGACTTACTCTCTTCTCTTTAGTAGATGGGGTGTCAGCCTGCGTCTGAGGCAGAGGGATGCTGTTCACAAGTTCAAACACTCCTTGGAGTTTACGGTCAGAGATCTTGAGGCGCAACAATGGCAACTCTCCAGACACTTTAAACCTACAGTGAAAAAAAGCAAAATCTAAAGCATCTTCCAAAGCACTTACGGATTGCATTCTAGTAAAGAAAAACACTGTGTAAAAATTGACTGAATGTGTTTACATATTTATATGCTGAAAATGTTCCCAAATTATATTTACTTCCATGTTCACCCAAGGAGAAGTTTGAGTTCTTCAGATTTATGTAAACTGAAATGGTTTTTGGTAAATGTGTTTCTTGAATGAAAGTTTGCAAATTCATACACTGACAATTTTAGGTTTCACTACAAAAAAACATTGCATTTGAGATATACAGGTGCTCACACATTTCAGTATAAAATAAACAACACTTTCTTAATGTTTGGCTACAGCAAACTGTTGGCAGAAAGAATAATACTGTATAGAGAAATCAGGCAGTGGATTTGGTTTGATGGTTTATAAAGAAGAAAAAAAAAATGAGCTAAAACTATACAAGGCCCTCACCTGGGCATTCTGCTGTCTCGCTCTACCATAGCCTTTCCAAGCTGCATATCAATGTCTAAAGGCTGCAGAATGTGGAGTGATGAGGAGTTCATAGCCCGGGCCTTCTTCCAGTCCTCTCCTGCACTCATGCAAAAGGAAAACCAAACACAATTGAAAAAAAAGAAAACAGTTTTAAAAATGTCTGCTAATTATTCTATTCTAGTCTTCATGGAACATTTGTGGCTAAAAAGTCATACCTTCGACATGGAAATGAGGTCAAACATCTCGCCTATACACAAAAACACAAGACCTGGTGTGCAGAACTAGAAAGCAGGTGCTCTGGACTGAGGAGTCCAAATCTGAAATATATAGCTGTAACTGAAGGCAGTTTGTTCACTGAAGGCTTGGAGAGTGGATGAGGTTCTGCTGGCAGAAGTGAAGCATAGTGGATGTTCCCTTTCAAGTTTGGGTCTGCATTTCTGGACAATGCTGAAATGTACAGCCAGCTACTTCTCCACCAAGCAATACCAACAGGGAGGAGTCTGATGGGTCCCAAAATCATTCTTCAGCAGAACAATGACCTCAAACATAGCCAAAGTCATTAAAGCGGACCTTCACCTAAAAAATACACTTTACATCACTGCAATCCTCCACACTCCTGCTGCAATCCTAAAAGCTAATTTTAATTTGACGTGTACCCTGCTCTTGAAGCCTCCTGGGATATTAATGTGATATAACCCAAGAGGCATCAGCTTCCACACAGAGGTTAAAGGAGGGCAGACCTGTGGCTGGAGAAGAGTGGACCTTCTCTGGCTGCAAGAACTAGGAAGAGACAGCTGTCTCCCAATGACATCAGAAAGGAAGAAGGCAACGTAACACAGACCACAGCACGACTATGCTGGATTGATGCCAAGTAGGTTTACTGTGAATAACCCCAGTGAAAAAGGTAAGCAGGGGCCATTACCAGGCCCGACTACAGTCAAGCAGATACCCTGCTTAGCAGAGTACATGTACCAATCTAATGATATGGGTGGTATTTTAGTAGCATTTGATTAGCTTTGCAGGTGCCAAAGCAGGGATTGGTCAGGGAACATAAGCAAAAGAACTGGAGGGTATATTCTGCAATAAAAGGAAGGCTTTAATACAGGTTCACTTTAAGACAAATCCCTTATTCTGGTTGAGGAATTGCACCAGATACAAGGGCATAATATTTATGTCAAGCATTCACTTCTTTTGTACCTGAGGTTCCAAATAGCATTTGCACTTTTTTGATCTGAACATGAAACTTATCATAGGCCTTATCCATCAGCTCCTCTAGAGATGAAGTACCAGCAGTGGAGTGTGATCCTTGGTTAATGCTGTTTAGCTGTGAGATAAAGTAAGAAGTTTAGAAACAAATTCACTATCCCTTGGGACAGAGTCAAACACAGGACAGTTTAGCAATGGTACCATGCTGTCCAAAACATACAAATAGGTCACTAAATACTCAGTAACACATGCCCTAGTGTGTGTTTGTATGAACTATAGTTGAAACATCAAAATCTAAGATCCACTGTGGGATATAGAATATACCTGCACTGTATATTTTACATTACTTTAAAAAAAATGATAAAGGAGCACCAATTACATCTGCAGAAACCACCAAGATGTCTATAATAATACTATAACAGTTTCTGCATGTCATATTAATTGTTCCTTTGTGGTTTTACTCTATGCTTAGCTGACAGTATAGTGAATGACAAACTGAGAAGTCTGTAAAATTAAGGACTATGACAGTAAATTGTATGTTTACAATTGGTGATTTATAGCACAGTTCAATATTCTCTTTTCTTCTTTTTAATCTCATTCTCACTGGGGTAGAATTAATTGGAGCTACCACTATAATCTGAAATAATTGGACAGGCTATACAAGTGACTTTTCAACATTCCCAGCAATGACATGGATCATGCAGAAGCATGATATCAGTTATCTGACTGTTCGTGCGTCAGCATGGAAAGAAGGAAAGCGCCACTTCGGCTAGGTACTTGGCAGACCTTGCTCTACCAGTAAACTTAAATACACACTAAAAAGAGTTGACTTAAAGGACAACTGAATATATAAAGAAGTTTTGGGCATTAAACAGGCAAACTAAGTGTAAAAAATATCTGTTGCTGCCAAAATACTAGTTTACAACCAGGTCAATCTACAGTGATTAGAGGCTTTATTTTATGTGTCTGTTTTACTCCTGCCTATACTTTACATGCCCTTGGAATAAGGAGAGGCAAGATCTTCGATACACTGGCTCCCAGTGAAAAATTTTAAAAATATGTCATATTTTAAATGAATGGCTGGTGTGGATAGGGATGAGGAAAACAAAACAAAGCTACAGCATGGTAACCAAGAGCTCTGAATTCTGCTGGCCAGCTGGTTCTGGTATTTTCCAACGTGTTTACCTTTCCCCCTCTTAAGTCGGTTAGGTATCACTGGTTCTTTCTCTGTTCTTCCTCCTTTCTGCTATTCTTCTTTTCTACCCAGTGCAGTTTTCTGCCGATATGTTTCATATCATAAACATACGATATGTTTATGATATGAAACATATCGGCAGAAAACTGCACTTTCGGTAAAATGCTGAAAGTGCCATCTTTCAGCCGAAATTACGGTGCATGCCTGCTTTCTCTCCTCCCCGCTTTGCGCTGCTCTGTGTCCCCTCTGGGAGGAGAGAAACTGTCAGAGGAGAGTGCTGCGAGCCATGCCACACCGCCCCCCTTAGCCTCCTCTGACCGACCAGGATATAGAGCGGTGTGGGGGTGGAGCTGTCACAGGAGCGCAAGCTGGTGGTGAGGGGGAGTATAGAGGCTTCCTGTTCATTTATAACAGGGGCTGCAGAACAAGAGACTGTGCCCTCAATCTATTTTTCTATTTCAAAAGGGAAATACCAGGGCTCTGTTTAGACCCCCAATATTTCACCAAAGCCCCCAACTGAAAAGCTAAAAAATTAAATAAAAATATTTAATAAAAATAATGTTTAAAAAATGTAAACGTTTATAAAAAATAAATAACATTTACATATTTAAAAAAAGACTAGAAAAAAAAGTTTATGTTTCGGCCTGACTTTTTTTTTAATTTTAGGTGCACCTCTAATTGTTATATCTCCCACTGTCTTTTCAAATAAGAGTAAAAACAAAATAGGATTTTTGTACTCACCGTAAAATCCTTTTCTCTCCGTTCATTGAAGGACACAGGGCAACAGATCGTAGATCCTGAATGGTAGGGTATATCGCCACCTGCAGGAGAATCGGACAACCCCCAGGACCTGGCTCTCAACAGCCACGGCGTCAAAGCTAGCGACTGTAAAGAAGGATGGAACACAGGACCCTGGAACAGAAGATCGGGGCGCAGAGGCAGGCGCCACGGGGTGTCCACCACCAGCTGAATCACATCTGCGTACCACGCCCGCCGAGGCCAATCCGGGGCCACGAGGACGACGGTGACGCCCTCGACCGCGATCCGACGGAGCAGCCGAGGCAACAGATACAGTGGAGGAAAGGACGTGACGTGGGCCAGCCAAAAATCCGCAAAGAGCCGAAGGCGGCCCCCCACCCCAGGACCCGGAGTCGGGTCCCGACCATCCTGCGGACTGGGGCTTGCCGACGGGCTTGGCAGACTTGGGCTGCCACGGCCGCTTGGAAGATTGGGAAGCGGAGGGTTTGTGAAACTTACCGCCCTTCTGAGAGGGCGGAGGGGGCCGAAAAAGCCGCTTGTGAGCGGAGAAAGTAGGGCCAGGCTTCCGGCGCTGTTCCTTCTTGCGCGCCTGGGGAAGGAAGGTACTCTTACCCCC